GCTACAGTAATAGCATGTCTTAATTGGTGAGGTTCTGCAATACCAACAAATTCACAACATGCCAACTGATTTAATGACGGCATCATGCCTACGGTAACTGAAAGATGCGCATTTCTGGGGAAATCCTTACGGTAGTGGTGTAGTAATATAATTAACAAACGAATATAAATATTAGTGTAATTAAGAGGTGTCAGTAGTAATAATTAGCAGATATCAACAGTAATATATCATAGTAATATAATCAACAGATATCAGTAGCAGTATAATTAACATTTTTAGCAGTATAATTAACATTAAAATTAGCAGATATCAGCAATAATATAATTAACGGGCAGTAGTATAATTAACGGATATTTGTAACAATAATTACTAGATACCAGCAGTAATATAATCAGCAGATATCAGCAGTAAGTTAGTAGATATCAAAAAAATATCTACTTTTCCTGTCAATATTTTCATGCATTTGCATTTTGTTCTTTTATCTTACATTTTGCATTTGAAAGCAAAGCGAATACTGATTATTCGGTGAAGATCCAAAAGTCCTCTATACATTTCACAGCTTCATTAATTGCATTGACTCACGTGTACTAAATTTAAGCCATGCAAATCCCAATTGCAGTTTTGCGTGCTTCGAATGTGGAAAACGTTTTGTACGGCGAAACGATCAGCGTGTCCACGAGTTGTTGCATACTTCACATGAACAGTACGACTGTAAAAAATGTGGCCAGCATTTTCGTCGCCAAATTTATCTCAAAAAACACGAGAACTCATGTCGAGTGATTAATGATAACGCGAATGCTTATTCGTCCATCCGTGTCAACGAGTAAGGCAAAATGTCCAGTTATAGCAATGGGCTGCTACACATACCCAACCAATGAAGAAAACTTATCATTCTGTGATTTCTCAGTTTTGATACAGTTCATATTTATTTATTTCCTATATTGTATTAATAAAGCCATTACAACATGTATTATAGGTCGTATGATGGAAGTTTTATTGCACCGAACAACAAAAGGCAAATTTGATTTTTAGAAATTGATACTTTCCTATTTCCATTACTATTATTTATCGTAATTCTAATGCTTCTACACCATCTGCAAATTACATTATCACTCCTTGTTTATCATTACATATATTTTTAGCTGCTCCTTCGGAAGCAATTACAATCTCATCAGAATTGTTCTATTATACAGCACAATATACCTTCCTATGGTCGAACAACTACAATATATTCTTCGATAGCATTACAGAAATGATCATGAGAATACGCGCTGACTTGATTTTAAAAAATCCGACCAAATTGATGCGGTATATTCGTTTACTGGATGCTTTTATGCGTCGTTGTTCTGTAACACTGTCAATTTTTCCAGTTCCTTCTAAGTTATCTCAGTTGCATTTTTCAATAAGCTTTTTTTAATTTGTAAGCAATAAGATGATAAGATGTATATTGCTATAGATACACGCTACTGGGTGATAGCTGCCAAAATCTGTTACGACAATCCGATGCAAGTCAATTGCTCCTACTCATTTTCTTTGGATGGAATGAAAATCTGATACACATTTTGCCTTCTTAGCAATATCTGCAACGTGTTCATTTATTTATTTTTCTTCATTGCTGCAGCGCAAAGGTAAAAATCAAGATGAAGAGAAACAAAATGTTTTTGTCAATATATTTTGTTCGGACCAGATATACGGAAAGATTACGCCAGATAAATAATACTGTTCAATGTTATAGATCTGCATAATTTCGTAATCCAACGGCGGAATAACCGTTACGGTTATGATGGGTGAGGGTTTATCGAACAAGAAAAGAAAAAGTGAACATTGTCAAAAAGAAATCAACACTGTCAAAAATGTCGATTTATTTTTCGCAAGCAGTTTGCAATCAACTTTTCTCTTCCGAAAAATTTATAATTTTTCTGCAAAATATTTAAAAAATCGAAACATTTATTCGTTCTCGAAGCATTACCCAAATACTTTTACTCAAAATTTTTAAAAATAATCGTACCTAAATTCTCGAAGAAGTTACATTCATTCATAGCACGGTCAACTATCATCAGTATTTGAATCAACGTTTGTTCTAATAGATTAAAAAAAGCAAACCATTGGTGTCTCATAGTATTAGTAGCTGATTATAAACAAAGGAACGAACAGATCTGATTTGTTTTGGATGTTTGAATTCCATAACTATTAAATCAATTCTAAGAAATTTGAAGAGGGAGTAAAAAATTATTAGGTAAAAATTTTAATTAAGTAAAAAAGCAATTGTATTCTATCATAGTTTATGAAAGACTGTTGATCACGATTTCCATCTTAAATATAAGGATTACTACAAAAATATAGTAAAATATCTATGTCAAAACAAACCATATAATAATGATGATGCTCTTCGCTAGTTAATCATAGTAAACACTCCACGTTTGGGATATAACATTTCACAACGTGCTGACATGAGTCGCCGTTAAACGCATAGGCCTACATTTTCACGAAATTATGGTAAAGATTGCATTGGGCGTTGGATGTTACGGCGGTGGGTAGTTGGGATGTTGTGTGGTTTTTCTTTTTATGTAGTAGTTTAAATGCGGCGAAGTCATTTTCATTATGTTGTCTTGGAGATCTGTTTGCTTTGATTACGTCTTTTTCTTTGCAGTTTCATTGCTCTAATATTTTTGCATTGTCAAAGCTTATCGAACCTTTGACTAATTAAGAGTGGCCTCTTGATAGTTTATGCGTAAAAACTGTGTGATATTGCGGAAATCCATGTGCTGAATCTGGTTGTTACTTTTAGGTTACAAGGAGAAAGACTGGACAAATGAGCAGTGACGGAAATGTAAGTTGTTCATGGCTCTTTCATTATTACTCAATACTTTTTTTCTGGAGAGAGGAGGTTACCAGCAACCAGAATTGCAGCTGTTATTAACAACAACTTGCTGTTTTTAGCGTAGTGAATCAGCACCTGTACGTAGCGCGTCACGGAGTCGAAGCGGTACACCGATGGCCTCAGGTAAGAGTAATGGCCACGCTCGATCTCCCTCGGGCTCTCGACCCCGTTCATCGTCTCACCATTCACTATCTCAATCACCAGTTCGTGAACGTTCAGCTGCTTCACGATCCTCCGGTGGACATGAAGCGTCCAGATCTCCTTCACGTGCTCGTTCAAGGTCACACGACGATCGACGTGTTCGCCGCTCACGCTCACCTGAGGAACGAAAACGATACCGATCACGCAGTCGTGATTCACGTTACCGTCGACGAAGGTACTGTCTTAATTAAAAGGTCTTTTGCTTTTCTTTCGGATCGATTTTGTCAGCTGTTGTTACGGTTGTCTTTTTTGATAACTGGAACTCTTATTATCAATTTTACTGATATTAATTAGATGCCGAACGGAGTGGGAAGTAACCTTAAATGTTATATTGTTAATTGATACTTTTGGCAGTGAGAAAATCAGAACAGCTGAAACGCTGTGAGCGAACAGAATTCAAAAATCAGTCTCAATGAAAACAGAATCAATGAATGAATCAGTGAGGCAGGCAGTTCAATATTGTCAGCGCTCAGAGTGGAACATCACAGTTTCAAGCTCAGAGTTGGCTGTCAAATTCAAATCAATACAGTTCAGCATCCATCCTCAAATACCCAATGTACAATGCACCACCACCACCACCACCGACAGTCAGTTGTGGTATTTATAATGCCGCTAGTAGTTTAGAATCCTATTTCTCCACTCCTCTTTCCGTGTACAGTTATTTAAAGTTTTTCAATTGGCAATGTGCGGGTAACTTGGGCTACAGTTTTCTAGAATAGGCCCTTTTGACGAATAATTGACATTTTGATGTCCAAAGGTCACCATATATCTTAAGTGCTTCTTTTAAAATTGTTACAGAATAACTGCTCTGATTATAAAAACCGATTTTATCCGGCTCTTCGGCTTTTTCTCAGGGCTGCACCTTTAGTTGATATTCAGTTATCCCATCTGCCAAAAAACTCTGTTAGTGCCAGTTACAAAATAGGTATCTTTGGAACTCGTAAAGCTAAACAGGGGGCAGTGGAAGATGCGAAAAATGATATTAATTCGGCTTACAACAGTGTATAAGCTCGTATTGTTCTAAATCACATAAAATTTTTTTCTGCTCTTCCTTGATATCATAAGGAAGATTTTGACTATTATCGGACTGTTGGTGGATAGGCGAAGGAGGGGCTGAACTGCGCAAAATATAGGGGCCAACTACATTTCATGAACTAATGTTTAGAAAAGTTGCTATCTTGCTGTAAAACATTCTTAGAATAAGTAGAGAGTTTTGAATATATGAAAATGTTTCAAGCACTGCAGTTTTATTTTAGAGCTGTGCTTTTGTTGGTCACGACGGTTGTGTTCTGTTGTAAGAGTTTACTTTTTGTAAATTCAAGAACTTCTTGTTATTTTGCATAATTCACTGTTAACTTCAGTCTTCGACAATTTCAGCTATGTGACAACAAAGTACCTCAGTTCTTAAGAGTTATATAAAAGCTGCACAGTATCTAACTGGTATCAGATCTCAAATGGGCGGATATTTTATTCTGTAACTCACGTTGTTCGAATTCAAGATACAAGATACTGATAATAAAGCATTAAAAATATATTCAGCCGATCACCATCATCGCCAGCTCGTCGCCGCTCTCGTTCCCGTCGACGCAGTCGTTCACGTTCACCACGACGAATCAGCCGCTATTCGCCAATAAGACGAAGCCGGTATAACGATGGTCGTGATAATCCGGAACCATGTTCATGTCTTGGTGTTTTTGGCATGTCACTCAATACAACTGAGCGCGATCTGAAGCGAATTTTCGGAGAATATGGAGAAATTGAATCGGTTCAACTTGTGTACGATCGTTACAGTGGCCGTTCACGTGGTTTTGGCTTCGTTTACTTTGAAACTACGAAAGAAGCAATACGAGTAAGTCTTTTTTTGTTAAAGTTTTCTTTCGTATTATGTCGATGTTTTCTTCAAATTTAAACTGATTCAACATTTTTGCTGAAATAGTGAATTGGGGTAATAATTTGAACAAACTGATCTTTGCAGGCAAAAGATCATCTTCGTGATGCTGTCATTGATGGAATGCGCGTTCGTGTTGATTTTTCTGTAACCAAAGGAGCTCCGAGATAGTATGTTTATATTTCGAACTTGTAAAATGTTCCTGTAGGGATGATTTATGCATTACATGGATTTTTTAGATTCGAAATTTGGTATTTTTTTTTTGTTTGAGAAAAACGATGTTGAATCCTTGTACAGTTACAGGGGACGTTCACCTCGTCGTTCTCGAAGCCGCAGTGTGGACAGTTATCGCAGACGTCGATCGCGTTCTTAAAAAGAGTCCGATGTTGAAATAAATTCTTCCTTCTTATTACTAAATTGTTCTTGTTTATGCTAACGTCAGTTGTATTTTACATTATTTAGTATATAATATTGTTTACTCTTTGACATCATAAAAGCCGTATTCATAGCTCTCCTTCAAAAGGTATTGGTTTTATTGGTCTTATTAAAGGCTCTTTTGCATTCTTTTCATTAGTGTTCAAGCAATGAATATGCTGGCACACTTAATAATTAAACATCTTATTTGTACAACTGATAAGTTGTTTAAAGAAAGAATCCAGTCAACGAATATTTTTTCGTTGGTTAATTTGAGTTATTTAATCCTTTTCTATGTCTTTAGCAGGAGTTAAAACTACAAACTTCGAATTCAATTAATATAATGGGATGAGATCAGAACATTGGTAGCCGATTTGTGAGTGAACTTTATTTGTTTTATTAGTTGCAGTAATTTTATACGACGTCATTAATCGCGCTTTATGAACTTGAAATTATATTTCTCTTGTGAGATGTTGTCCCTACATTAAATTATCTGACAACAGAAAGCAGAAAGCTGTTCGCATAAATACATAGTGCATCATATCCGTGTCATCAAAATTTCGTCTGTTTCGGGAGGCGATTGCACCATTTGTACTTCTAACTAAATTGAGGTGGAACATCAAAAAAATGACGTGGGAACATCACTTTTACGAAACTAGGATTTGAATGAAACTGATTCGTATAATGGCATTTTAGGAGAAATGCTTTTATCGAGAAGAGGTGCCAAATTAGACTGGGAGCTAGCAGTTGGCAATATAAATTTTGCCGTTTTAAACGTCTATTATTGATAGTATTTTGGAGTGATGTGTTCATGTAATTTGATGTGGTAAATATAACTTTTAGTCGCAGAATTATTTTTCGAGGTTTGGGACATTGTAAATTGGGGCAGTGCATTTCTATGACGGTATGAAATAGGCCGCTGGAGAAACATTTTAGGGGCCGGTCTGGGAATAAGAGTGTTGCACATGAAGGGTGGCCATTACATTTGGCTGCTGGCATTTCATATTCATAAGAATACGTAGAGTATCTATGAGACTCGATGTGATGAATAAATTGGTCGGACTTTCATGGAATTGACAAATGGTTGGGATTTTATCGAATGCAGCAAAACGTTAGCAACTGACAAACTTATTGCATTTCAGAAAATCCTTTTGTCGATTATTCTCTGCAACAATTCTCTTGCATTGTAAAAATCCACTCAAGTTTTTTGTTTCATTTAAGTCAGTTATATTTCTCTCCACTCGATTCCACATTCATTTTAATCTGGTTCATTTTAAAACCAGTAGATTGAGCAGGAATTGCTAAGAAATTGCGAGGGTTTGCAGGTAAAATGCAGCGACCGCATTGGACTTTGGTAGATAACTTTTGACGTCAGAGTTCAGATGTCGATATACAAAAGTAGACAGCACTTTGGGAAGAGAACAATGGTAGGGAGGTACTTTAAAAAGTTTTAGAACTTGAAGATGACATATGAAGTAACCATCTGCTTGGTTCCATTGCAAACAGTCTGGAACACTCTCTTCATGTGCAAAGTGAAATAGTGATTTCGTTGAACATTTCAAAATTTGATTCAGTTATTGTTTAACAGTGAAATAGGAGTATGGATTATAAGGTGGTGGGCCTCTTTATATTTTTTAGTTTTCCTGAATTTGATCAACTCCTGACTTCTTTCTACTTCAAGAAAGTACAACAGGAAATTACCTAATTTATCTAAGTTCATAGCATCATACTGTAAACTGTTGGTGAGTGATATTCGAGAGCGAAATGATTCATAGTAAATGTATCAAATATTTGAAATGAATTCGACGAAGTATGTATTTTCAGATTTTTGAAAATGAAAACTTGTCGGAACTCTAGAATACTTGGTTAAATAATCAAATATATTTTAATAACGATATACTATTTTAATGCTATGTTGTTACTCGTTCGTCAAATATACAGATTAACAAGTAATAATGACATCAAACGTACCTTCTGAGACAACCACGACGACGACGGCACTAGCACAAGCACCATCAGCAAGTGATTTAACGTTGGTGGATTACTTTGTGCTTGTTGGACACGATAATAGTGCTTTGCTACAGGCAGTTATTTCAATGTTTTTGGAGTTATAACGTGGGATTTAGTTAAATGGCTTGCATTGAATTATTGAAAACAGTGCACTTAAATGATAACCCTATATTGTTATACCAAACCTTCAAACATTTTACCATCGCTATATTGTAATTTTTTATTTGTACTGTGCCTTGTATGAACTTATATTCCAAATTTATTATTTAAAATAATTTGAAATTATTGATATGCACTGCTTCAGATCGAACCAGGCGGAAGAAATGACTTGGATGCGACAGAGCTACTTTATATCCCACCTTTGGAGCGGTCTTATGTTCCTTCAATTCTGCACCATTTTCCGGAAAGACGTAGCGCATACTCGTTTCCATCCGAAATTGTTTCGGTGCACCTTTTGTTATTTTTAAAAAACAAGAACTTAGAAAAAATTTGAGCTTTATAGAATCATGACTGAATAATATATAAAGCACTACGCTAATTTTTGGGTCTTGAAATATAAGATACATAATACAAAGAATGTAACTTGTATCTAATTGTCTAAAAGATCATGTAGAACGGGATAAGATCTTTCAAAAAATATATGATCTTCAAGCTAATTTTTTTCTATTTTATCATTAAAGCTAGCTAAGCAGTGGCAACCTTTAAATTTTTCTCATCTCTTTTTCTTTACTTTCATCCTTCCTTTACATATCTTTTTTACATAATCATTTATTTATAATTCATGCTCTAGTCACGGCTTGCTATGAGAGTTTATAAAAAGAAATCGATATAAAAATAAGTATGCGTTCTCCTTCTGAAGAATTTCCAATCAAGGAGAATTTGAATATTTTTTTAGACACAGCGAATCTTTATGAAAATTTGTTTTTTAAGTTGTGCATGCCGAAAGGTTTGAAATTTTACACGCAAAACAATGTTCCATCTCCAGCTATGCATACATTTGCAAATATTCGTGAGGACGGTTCACGTATTAATGGTTGCGCCCTTATTTATCATGAGGTAAGTCGTTAATTTAGGACACAAACTTCGATTTTTATGTTATGAAATGGCATCGAAAAGTTCTCATAATGGGTTGAAAACAGTTTATTCTTAGATAATTTTCATTTTTTCTTGAGCATATATCTTCAAGTAGTGAAAGAGAACAACTTGTGCAAAAATTCCGGATCAGCGGATAAAAACATCAACAAAAAAATTATTTTTCGTATGAAATTCGAAGTTTGGTATAGGATGGCGATCAGTTGCTTTGTTTAAAGTATAAGGAGTAAACAATTGCTCACGTTACATGCAAAACTTTACAAAATTCCTGAAATGTTATTCGGTAATATGCAAATTCTCGTTTCAACTTTGTTTTTTTCTTTTGTTAGAATAAAAGTCTTATTTTCTGAAAAAAACTTAGGAGGTCAAGGATGCTGAGCTATGTGAGCACATGTCGCAGCTGCATACCGAACATGTACGGGTTTTAACAGCTCGTGAGAAAGCCACTGAACGTGCACATGTTCCTCCTGGAACTGTTTCTGGTGGTACACATACTCTTCCTAGAGGAAGTCGTAAGGTTGGTTTATGTTGGTGACTTTTTTTTATATATGGAAATTCAGATTATTCTGATAGCGCGAATCTTGCCATGCGCTGGAATTCGTTTATTTGCAGAATCGAGCAAAGCGAACTTCATACTACGATTCGGGTAATTCTCAATTGTATGTGGCTAAATGTATCTGTCTTATTAGTCGCATCCCGTTTGTTTCTGCCGGTGAACATCTATTGACTGCAATTCATTCTTTATTCACTTCGGAGGCACAACCTCCTCCACTTCCTTTGGAAAGTTATATCTACTGGATTTTGAATGAGGTCCAGAAGTTATATTCAGGACATTTTAAAATGCTTTTAAATTATCCTTCAAATCAAGATAGGATTAGTGAAGTTTCAATTCTGTTTTCTCTGATGATTTAATTTTATTAAATTTGATTATAGAGCATCTATAGCAACTGAACCTATATTTCAAGTTGTACCGCCGACGTTTAACTTCAATGTTTCTTGAAAAATCTCATTTCAGGTTCCCCTTCCAGCTCCCAGTAGCACGCTAAAAATATGCCTAGATCGTATTGACATTGTTCTGCAAAGACCAGGTCCCAATGAGTTGCCTTTTTTCGATCACGCTATTAGTTCGTTGTTCGATTTGCTTACTGTTGATAAATTTCTTCGACTTTTCACATGTTTTCTTCTTGAACATCAAATATTGCTGTGCTCCAGGAGTTAGTGTTTCTGTTTTCTCTATTTCTATGATTTATTCCGCAAATTTCGTACTATTATCCTTTTCTGAATTAAATTTCGTGCTGAATTTATTTTGATGATCGTGGTATTTTAGGTTTCCAACGTTTAATGTTAGTAGCTGAGAGTTTGTGTTCGTTGGCGTTTCCATTCCGTTGGCAACTAACATATGTTCCAATCTTACCCTACTCGCAATTAAAGTTTATGGAAGCACCGGTGCCTTTTGTAATGGGTTTATGTTACGAAAACGCCATATCGGAGCAGATCTTTCAGGTTCATTATGACTAAAACTTTTTCATTTTTGAAATAGTGATTGCATATCTTGTGGAATGTTCATGTTTATGATTCAAAGATCGATTAAGAAAAAGTAAATCAAAGTGGTGAATTATTTCTTGATTGAGTTAAAATCCTTAAAATTTAGGGCAACATGTGCGTCCTAGATATCGATTCTGGTGTGCTAAATTTACCGGAGGATGTACCAGCATTACCAGATAGGGCTGAATTTGCAAAAGAAGTTGCAAATGTTCTTATGAGGTGATCTTGCATACTTCTATTAATTAATGCATTAATTTTTAGCAGTTGTATAAAAAGATTTAGCTCTATACGCTACTTCAGTTAATATGGACTTGAGCTTTTAAAGTAGTGAGGAGAGAAATAGAACCAAAACAGAAATAGAAACCCAAAATAGTTTGTCGTATATTCCTTGATCTTAATTTTTCTGAATTATTCGATAAAAGTAGAGTGACAAATATTCAATATGAGATGATATGCTTAAACATAGTATAGAACACATGTTTCCTATATAATAGAAAAAATTCGAAAAATTTTGTAAGAATTTAATGCGCTTCAGATATGAAGAGCAGAGTGCGGTTCTGGACAATGAAGAAGTGAGAAGACAAACCAGTACCACAGCAAAAGATGACTGGTATAAGAAACGTATGTCCCGTTCATTTGATGGCGAAACATTACCAAATATGCTGGATGAGGATAATTCTTCCAGGCGGATGGTGTCAAGAAAGGATCTTGCTCCGTTGCATTTCGATGATGTCTTGAAACAAAGTGAAGTTTTAGCCAGGTAATTATATTCACCGCTTACTTATTTTTATGACTTTAATATATTATTTTCATGTTAGAATGAATATTTTCACCATTTCCAGACCCATCACTTTGTTTGACTATTATGAAGCGTTTTATTTGCCTTTTCAGGGTTACTGCAATTGCACATCGTGCAGGCGTTAGCGTACCGTTTGAAAATATTCAGAAAGAATTACAGTCTAATGATTTTTATACAAATTCGCCGGTGTGTAGAGAATATTTTAAGGTAAATGTGATAGATTTCCTTCAACATCTAGTGGTACGTCCTAAAATCTCAAGATTTGTTTAAAGATTATATTGTTGATTAAAAAATTGCTTTTTTATCGGAGAAGTGGATATATAATTTAATCTCGAGATTTTTTATCATAAATATATCGATTGAGACTTGTTTATTTAATGTGTTAAATCATAGAATATTTTCAGAATATGAAAATAAATAATGCTGTCCGTGAAGTATTTATCAATCGATTTGCATGGCTTCTTTACTCCTATGAGCATTTTGTTATTAATACGGCATGTCAGGATCTCGAGACATATTTTGCTAGTCGAGAATCGGTTGCCAATTTTGATAAAGCGGCCTTTCTTTCCGATCAGCCAAGTAAAAACCTACCGTTTTTGGCCGCATTTTTAGAAACACAGGTTTGAGATTTTATTTCACTTTGTTTTCTGTAATTTATTTAACTTTCATTTGCTTTGATTTTTGTTTTAATAGTTTCTAATAGTTGTGATGTACATAACGTTTAATGTCTTTTTCAGATGTTTACTTCATTTATTGATGCGAAAATTGTTTCGCAGTGGGAAACAACGGCGGACGAAAATCTTCAAATCTTTGATTCTCGAATACAAACATTACGTACGAAGTATGGCCTTCAGATGGTACGTACTCCTACTTACGAGAAGGCTCCACCATGCTTTGATTCAGGTTGTATTGAACAGTTGTTTAAGTTGAATTATATGAACTTAAACTAATAATTTTTTTGCCACTATTAATAGGTTATTTTTTCGCTTTCAAATATGAATCATTTTCTTCAATAAATTATTATTCTATACTCCAGCTGCACTGAATTGCGAGAAATGGTCCAAATAATTGGTCTCTTTTTCACCCATCAAGATATTTGGTGAAGTCATATGTCTCCCCAATCTCTTTAGTTGTGACCGTGGGATAAGTTAAGAAACAATATTGACAATATGTCATCCAAGTAAAACAACATGAAGAAATTGGAAGTTAAGTTCTGATGTTAAAAATGATAAGCTAGAATTAATAGATCATTAAAAAATTAAAATGATAAGCAACCATGACTTCAACTAAAGTTTAAAATTTGCTTTATTGTTTTGGAACTTTTCTACAGAAGAAACAATAACAAAACGTGAAGAAGCACTTGATTACATTGTTCCATTACCTCATGAGCTTCCTGGTACGTCAGCAAAAGCTTACGATGGTACATTTCCGGAACTTAATAAAGCTGTTTTGGAAGGTTCTTTTGTACGAAGTCCAGTACCATCACCATGGAAGCAACGGCATCGTAGACTGCGGCCAAAGTTGTTGGAGGTTAATCTTTTCAAGTTGCTTTTATACAGTTCGATTATGTCCCTGGGACCGCTATAGATTTCTAAAATAACAACTAGATATTGTTAATACTTCGAGTTTTGTTTTATTGCAGAGTATTATTGTGGACAGTAACACAGCAAATAAACAGAACTCATATAAAACGGATACACCAAGGCAGATAGCACATCAGAACTGGAAATTTGTCGAGCAGTTATTGAAAGAGACTAAAAGTGAGCATTCATTTACATCAATTTAATATCCCCATGTTCTAAATATTAGCAAGTACATAAGAAATCATGTAGAATAAGTACAAAATTCGGTTCCACGTGAATTTGAATTAATTTACTTTTTCAGGTAAAACAAAGCGAATGCTTGTGGAAAAAATGGGCAGGGAAGCACTGCAACTTGGACACAGTGACGCTATTGTGAATGGTCTGGAAGAAAATACTTTAGTTGCTTCATTCTGTGATTTACTGGAGCGAATCTGGGCACATGGTTCATTGAACAAACAGGTATTTTAAGTTAGAAATGAGCTAAAACATTTATTAGTGGTTAACATGAGGTCTTAAAATGCACCACAATAGTTATTAGCTCAGATTTTACTACTAATAACATGAAATTATGAGCTTTGAAGGTTTCCTATGTGTATTCTTATCATTTCTAGTCTACTTATTAATGTAAGTAAACTTCTAGAAAAAATGGAAATTATTTTTGATAAATGAGATTGCAGAATTGTAATTTGGTCTCTTGTTTCATTGATGGACTACTAATGGAATAATATATCCATTCTAGAAGTTTAAGAAATTTTTCACCATGAATTTTTTCATTTTCAAAAATCTTGTGTCAGTATGAGGAAAAAATTTTCGTTTTTGAGAACTTTTCAAACTAAAAAATTATATGAAAAGTTACAATATCCAACTGTAATCACTTTTGTCTTTTGGAAAGTAACAGAGAGTTTAATTCATTTGTAATGATATGTTTAGGGCAAATCATCCTTGTGGGCCCATATTTTGCATCATCAAGAAGTTGAGAAATTGGGAATACTGTCTCATGATTCTGCGCGGAGAAATTCATCACTTACTCCAGGTATCTTTAATAGACGGATTAGATTGTAAAAAGTTAATTTTGGGACAAGGTATTTCCGAAGGCATGCTAGTTGGAAAGAATTTACTGATCATTTATTTTATTACTTACGGTTCTGTTTTAATAAACTTCCATTATTACATGAACCACATTATCGATCATCGTAAGGAACAACACTTGTGATAGTGTTTATGAATCATAGTAGTCTTACAGTTGTCCATTTCTTAGAAATTTATGAAAAAGTGTATATGTGTGGAAATTAGAGATAATAATATGATACTGTAATTTGAATGGATTAAAAGCAATTTATAGCATTTGAGTGGCTATTATTCCGTCGTCGCTTTGAGCGTAAGGAACATTTTATATTATTTGTTCTATGACTGAAGCTTTTGTAATACTTTTACTTCCTCATTATGGTGCTCATGTATGCAGCGTGAACGTGCGTGTTGTGAAATAATGCTTTAAATGATATGCACAATGATGACGCATATTATGTTGATTTTTCGGAAGTCGTTTAGGACTACTACTTTTTATTCATTGAAGTTTATGTTAAATGTTGAGTTTACAAATGCCTTATTCTCTTTTATTCGATGATACACCTTGTAATTTGATTTAACGTTTTTGTGTATAATCGGATAAGTGAAATACCGGCTTAATCAGTCTGGCGATTTGAAAATCGATATTTTGGGAAGATAGGAAAAAGTTAATGCTCTGAAATTATTTTTTAATACCCATGGCTGTTATAGTTGAAGTAGAGTTGCATCATATCGTTATTCATTTGTCATCTTTATATCGGCTTATCTATCTTTGTTCCTGATTGTTATCAATGAATGTGAAACCCTTACATTCGCCATTTCTGTATTGCTTTTTCTTCTTCAGATTTTGTCAGTTCCAATGGAGCCATTGCCGAAATTCATATTTCAGCAAAAATAGAGAATTTTATGAAGCAGCTACTAAAACAGGATTCTCAGAGAGTTATTTTTAGAAAGTCCATTTTTATCTCGTCTATTGAGTCAATTCTAGGTATAGTTGAGATAGTGCATGAGTCACAAAGCGAACAAGAGTCCATGGATGAGGGTTCAATTAACGAGCTTGCACGAAGTATTCGTCAGCAATGCATTGATGATCCTTATGCGCCTGGCTGGTCTCTCCCAATCCTTCGTGCTGCTAACTTCATCTGTGATAAATTGAGTTCAAGCGTGAACAACAACGTGGAATATTCGGACTGGAAATCACTAGCTCGATCACCATGCTTATCATCAAATCCGGTTGTTTTTGGACGTTCCAGGTCACCGCAGAAGATGTCAAGAAGGGGGGCTTTTTTGCATAGAGCAAATTCCTTTGGTGGTAAGATTTTGAATGATATCAGTTTGACATAGTCAAATTTGCTTACAACTAATCAGCGGTATTTTCATTTTTAATCTACTTATCAATAAGATGACTATGCTATAAAACGTTACACTGTTGCCGCAGCTGTACTGAGTAATTCTAATGTCGTACTAGCATTTGTTTCGCGTAACATTTTGCAACACTAACAAGTATCACTTATTGATTTGCTAGCACACATTAACTTTTAAATCAACTTGAGTTGAGTGTTTCTTGGATTTATCGACTTTCCTCATAATAGTAGTAGTGCTTGTAAGCTATATGCCAGGCACAGATTCGCATGTTCCAGAAAAACAGTTAGAGTTACATTGTTTTTGTGATATTAGTTAACTTTTAGATTTTAAGAAAAGTTCATGTAGCTGCAGTTAAATGAAACATAAATTATGTTACTTATAGTACCAATCAATAAAATTTTTCTATTTATAACCTATTCTCTAGCAGCTTTTGTTAACTTTCTTATGGCTGTAAATCACATATTTGACTGTAGCAGTCCGTAGTAAGTTCTAGAATCTTTTATGTCCCCTTTGGTTTAGATATTTCATTATTATTCTCTTAAATTCTTTCCAAATAATTCATAAGATTTAGAAGTCGCACAGCATCTTTATAAAGTATTGAGTTCTTTCCTCGTCCTAACATGTGTTTTTATGCATTTAATTGCATTGCTGCAGAAGGATGTGTGTTACAAGATTATTCATCCTTAGTGTTTGCATGTTGTACTCCCCTATCACTGTATTTTGTTTGATGAAGAGTTCGTGAAGGTATTGGTACGTTCTCTCTGTATACTAGATTACACTCCATAAAATTGCTTAATAAAATTAAGATTGGAGATCCATTCTCATAAAAGTTCCTTTTGCTAGACGACGGCTGTGATCCACTTTCGGTTGCTTTATAAGTTAAGCTATTTTTCCATGCCTTGGTACTTATCTGATTTGAAGTAGAAGTTCGTTCACAATCAACAGTGATGATTCCTTTTAACCTTTTCTAACAGTACAGTTTGTTGCCAAAGAAAAACAATCACTCCTAAATTATGTTCTCATTCTTTGCACTCGTATTTTCGTCGTTACTTTGATAAAGCTAAGAATCAAAGGCATATAGGCTTGTTAGATTCAAGATTTGTGTTGTATCTGAATTTCATTTTTCTAAGTTTATGCTTTGCGATATATGAAATTTTCTTTGCTTATTAATGTTTTACTTCATAAATTTCATAAGACTTTGATCAAAATGATATATTTTTAGATTTTGCCCCGTACTGGACTACAGCTGGAACAAATGTAGATGAAAATGCAACTGATTCGGCGCGTAAGAGGAGTAATTCAAGAACGGCTAGTCCTGATGTTCGACAGTTTCTTGCACCACTACCTGTACAGATTGCTTATGATCTGAAGTATGTTGGGATCTTCAAATTTAAAATCAAAAAAATGCAAATTGAAGCAAAAAGTCGTCAAATGTATTGTTTTTGCTCAGATATCTTTCTTGTTTTGCTAAAAAGACATCGGATTGCCGAATCATATTTCAGGAATATCTTACGAATGACAGATATCAAGACTGATATTGGTTATGCGCGAGCCTTTGTTCGTCTCTCCTTAGAAAGGAAGCTTCTTCATAAGCATCTCAAAACCATTCTTAGCAACACACATCTATTACAGTTAGTTTAGTTTCATTAATAATTCTTAAAATTTGGCGATCAGATCCATGTTTACAGTACTGATACTGCTGCTTACATTACACTTGCTGCTATATTCTGACCGATGAAAAGATTTGTGTATAATATGCAAATGACATTTGGCATTTTCTGATCTTGTTTGCATCGTTATTTTATAGTATACTGTTAGAGTAGATTAAGTTGATCAAATTTCAAATGAAATGAACCGCAGTTAGCACGGATTATTGGAATTTCTAAGTTTAATTCACTCATGATGAGTTTGTTTTTAGACAGCTATATAAACGATATGCCTTTCTACGATGCGACGAAGAAAAGGAACAATTCTTATATCACGTACTATCACTAAATGCGGCTGAATTTAGCTGTTTTACCAACTCTTTCAAGAAAACAAGTCATTTGCTCGTACTTTCACTGTTTTTTTAGGAATCGTATGCATTTACAGATACTCTGATACAAATATTTCAAGATTTTGGATCAGCTTTAGTCACTGGGAATGTTGCATGCTTGCTAATTATTCTAACACCAAAAATCAGTTTTGAATATTTTAATCGAATACAATATGCAGAAAAATTAAAATTTTTGACTATCTTTGAGTAGCTGTTTGTGTGGCGATATTGATTTCTAAAATTCGTGGTGGTTTTGAAGCGCGTTTCAATTATTGTTCTTAGTCTATATTTTATAATTTCTTGTTACTAGGCGAAAATTAATGCTTAGAAGAAATGTTACGATATGTTTATATAATATTACAATTTTATAACATTTAATGTTTCTATAATACCACATCAATTTCAAAGTGTTATTCGCACCATTTTATCATTTCAGAAATGCAATACCGTGTTTTGTTGGTTAGTCGCAATTCTCGTTCAGTTATTTCGTGGCCCGTGTGGATCATTATCACGGGATCGCTGTGCTCAACGACTCCAATCGAACTGAAACAGAGCATACTCGATTTCACTTTCGATGTAAGCGTCATGATTGTCTGCTGTAGATTTATTTTAGTATTATTATGCAGGGAAAGTTAAGTGTTAAACAGTATTTTGTTTTTGATTTTCTAAAATGGACAAGATTTGAAAAAAATTCTACACAGATTCAAATTTCATCCAGTTTTGATCATTTTAATTAGAAAACTGAATGTTTTTGATGTTTTCCAAAGTTTATTTCAAATTTTTTAGTATAGAAATCTTGGTATACTATCAACGTTAAGAATTGGACATTTAAATGTTTCTAATGGCGCATCTCCGAAATGGTTTCTTGATTATGTTCGTAATATTTCTTTTCAGAAATTTTTGCAAAAATTATAGCACAACAAGCAGCTTTGTGGTCTCTTTTTACATCTGACTCTATTAGAGTTTTCATGAAAATTATTCATATGTATGAGCTTCACTGTAGGTCTTAGTGCGAAATGAAATAACAGGACAAAGTTATCGCTTTAACTGTGGGCGTTGGTTTGGTAAAGGAATTGACGATGACTCCTTGGAAAGACTACTTGTTGCCGAAAAAGAAGCACAGGTGATATTTGTCTCTGAAAGTATTTTATCGGTAAATATAGTTATCAAAAATTATATTGTATTTTTGATCCGAGAATAAGTTTTAAAGGCAAAATTGAGAGTAACCATATCTGAGCTTTAAGATCCGAAAGTTTAGTTTTGCAAGCGTCTTTTATTAGAATAGGGAATTAAGCGGTTAAGCAATTTATCACCAGTTGAATTCGTTACTTATAGATTGCTCCTAAAGAGATGCTGATCGAAGAATGTTCTTCGGAACGTGTTATTAAAGCTTACCCGAAGAGTCGAACTCCTCCGCGATCCCGATCACCAAGTACTAGTCGATCTGAAACATCGAGTCGTAAGTCGTTAAGTAATATTTTAAGGAATCTTTTTCCAAAACATTTGTTTTTCGCTTATTTTTTATATAATAATTGGGAGATATATGGAAGCTCTAAATCAGCTGCATTTTCTTAGAGTTGGATTACAAAGTGAACTTTGACAAATGTCAGGCATTTTTTCGTGTTCCAAAATTGCAAGTGTCAAAGAATGTCCTAAATTAATGAAATTTCAGTTACAAAGTTAAGAATTCTGATTTCATTTTATTTCTGTATACGATAGGATGGTTTTTGGCTTTGCAGGTATACATTTGACAGAAATACAACAGCAGCTTGGAGAGGCAGTGAACGCGTTAGTGAAATACTTCTATTCCAATGCGGAAGGTCGTAGTCACAGCGAATTGACGCAGTTACTTTGTGCGCCAGGAAAAGGCTTTGTTAGCGTGATGGTTGTTGTTTTCATGTATGGCCGTCAAGATTCCATATGGTCTGCTCGTCTTTTTCGTTCACACTATCCATGGGATTACATCGGTATATATTATAAAATTATAATAGAATTTCAAGGAAATTTCACTTTTTCAGTCCCACATCTTTAAATATTTCTTATAGGAAGAGGAAGAAAAGGTCAGTTAGTTTTTCCGTTACTCGTTTTAGTTCGCTTATTCCATTTTGCCAAATAAATTCGCTTTGCGTTGGGGACGAATAGTTTTAGTGACACAATACTATGTGATAGTTTTTAATTTGTTTCAGAGAAGGTTTGCGTCTGGTTTTGGGATTTAATACATATGGAAGATGCAAAAAGGCTGACCCGGGAGCAACGTTCTCTTATAATCCAGGCATGCCGCCTTGTTCGTCGCATTTCCTTTAATACTTTTCTGGGGAAAGATGGCAAATTCCAGCTGTTCATTCTAATTACTGTCCGGTAAATAGTTACTTTTATTGCTTCACTCCTATAAACTTTATTATTCGTTCGGATATAGCCTTCTCTTTCGTTTTAAAAGGCCGCATGAAATCTTATAGCAACTTACAAAATTTTCAGAGATCATATATTGTCGGGATTGTTGCCGTTGATGGCTTGGACTCCGATAACGTCGCAGATGTACGAAGAACCTTCTTTTTTACGAACACCGCATCATTTAAACTACTTATCAAAATTGATTAGTTCACTTAACGAATTCCAGTTTGTTCTGGAAAAATCACTCATATATGGCATAGAATAACTTCAGATTTTGAAGTTAAAATTTATCACGTGAAATATTCATATAGAACGTTTCTATCTGTTTTGTTTTGGCGGTCTTTTTGGCTCCTTTTTAGTGCAGGTGTTATCTCGAAGTTTTTAATTGTACCATGCAGCTTCAGTTGTGTTTTAAAAACTGAAAAAAAATTATTTGGTTTCTACAGATTTTTTTCTTAGCTAGAGAAAATTGAAAAAATTGAAGGATATACTTTTTATTTTTGATCTTTCGATTTACTTAAAGTTTTTTTAGTCAGTTTGTTTTTTGAAAGATCAAAAAACTAGAATTACTACTAGAAAAAAACTAGAATTTCTACTAGAAAAAAAAACTAGAAAAAAAAAAACAAAAACTAGAAAAAACTAGAATTTCAAACTAGAATTTAATTTTGCATTTTTAATTTGAAAGTTACGGCATGGCTATCTTCTTAGTATATACTTCTATACTGATTCAGTGCAATATGTAAAAATATAGTGGAATGAAGTTTACTTCCAACTTAAACTTATTTCGTTATATGAACTTCTTTTCAATTGAGTTATAAATCTCGGTATTGGGATTTTGTCAGGACATTCTTAAATCATTCATAAAAAACGATGAATTCTAAAATATTATGATGTACATTCGGAATTTATGCCAAATATTCGGGACTTCATTTAACTTTAAACCGTAAACGTGGGATTGTATTTGGAATAAAGCATAGCAAGTTGCTACTGATACTCTCACTACTTCTCAGCATACTTTCTAACTAGATTGCCTGAAAGGATCTTGCCTAACAACATGTTAAGTAAGATTCGTAGAACTCAATAGCAAAATTTTTTTTGACCTAAAATGTATGCAACCTAAACCCCTAAAATTACTCTAAAATGTGTGCAAAATCTGTTCGACCCTATAAAATGTATGCAAAATCTAAAATGACCCTAAAATATATGCAAAATCCCTAAAATGTATGCAAAATCTATTTCAAAATACGGTCAAAATATTTGACCGTATTTTGAAGCAAATTTTCTAACAAATGTTGTATAATATTTTTATTCTCTGGTCTTTCAGCTTTAACAAACTCTATTCCGATTTTAACACATTTTTTTTGAACTTGCGAATTTCATCTTTGTTTGACTATGTGATAATACTTTTTTTGTACTTTCCTATGTTTTATAGTATTTCTTTTTCTACCATTTATCCATTTACTTTGCTGACCAACCTCAAAATTATTTGATTGTATTTTAAAAATGCTACGTCGTCCTATTTTTTATATTTGCACATGTAAAATTGTACATTTGTTTAACATATTGCAAAATCGGTGCTGTGTACGAGGAATTTGAAAAAATATCATTGCGATTTTTTTCTTACAGATCTCAAGTACCTTGCATGTTTCTAGCAGAATTATTTGTCTAACGGTTATTTCTTTTTCATAGATTACATTTCATTTACTTTTTATGATTGAAGTTGTGATTCTTCTAAAATAAAATCTGGGAGAAATCCGGTATGAATGGTGGTGGAAGTTCATAGTGTTGGGTACTTTATCATTTGAATTGCTTCCGAGGAATAATGGGAAGTTTCCTGTTTCAGTCGATGTATGACTTTTCATTTTATAGATAATTGTAGGATTCATGTTTTTTGTTAGTTTTCAATCAGACAGCTTGGTTTTCAATTCACCTCCGCCCCCTTCTCCGCTAATAGTTTTTCAGTAGTTAATTCGTTTAATTCAATGTTTTTTAGCAACGAGGCAGAATCATAGTAACAGCCCGCAACTTTTCTTGTGGAAAAGAAACCTTGAGTAAAAAACATTTCTTCAGAAGAATTGAACGTGGAACATGTTGATGAGAGACTCGTGCAATATCCGCAAGTCATGCGAATTTGAAATTCGCGAGATTTAGGAAAGCATTACGGATTGTAACAAGTAACGACTAATATGGAACAAAACTCATCGCTTTTAATTCGCATCAGTACAGCGGTAGCGTATGCTGTATGTTCAGTGCTCGTCGTTTTCATCAACAAACTATTGCTCACCAATTTTGAGTTTGTGTTCATTTCATGAAACTTAGAGCAATTGTTTGTATTAAAAGTAGGCAGCTAACTACAGCGTGTGTTTTTTTAAATTTATTCAATTTCTTCTGCCCGTACATCAGTGATACTGTCGTGCGTATTTTTCAAGTTCCAGATTTCCGTCATTTTTAATTGTTGGATTAGGACAGATGGCAGCAACTATTATAGTCCTATGGTTTGCTGCTCTTCTCGATTTCGTTTCAATTCCTCCATTCGATTCATCCGTTTCACAGATAAGTTTCATTATCAAATGAGTATTCAACAATGAGAAATGATGAGTCTTATGTTTAAATAGATGATGTGTAACACAAAAGAGTGAGGTATTGAAAAAATTATTGTTTTGGCAAACTGAATTAGGTTCTTCCGGACTTATTACGATAGTTATAAAGGTTTTTTGAATTCCTTGTTATTTTATTAAATTTTTTTTTAGATTTTCCCACTGCCAATTTTCTATGTTCTGAATCTAATATCCGGATTGAGTGGTACACAAAGAATAAAGTATGTTCTTTTTTATGGGTCATGATATTTCTATTGTTTACTTGCAAATTTGCAAATTTCGTTAGCAGTTACGGATGAAATTGTATCATTATTTCCAGTCTTCCAATGTTCACTGTGTTACGCAGATTTTCAATCTTAATGACAATGGTGTTGGAATACATTGTACTTGGGTTAGCTTTTCAGTTTTCCCAAATCTGTTTGCACCGTATTCTTTTTATTTCCAGGTCAGAAATATTTAGTTCGTCACAATCACTGACAATTCGGTTTTTCGTTTCGAATGAATAATCAAAATTTTTGCTTTTCGATCTATTGCTAATGAGATATACCTACAATTGTTAGCCATGCTGTTTACTTTTTCAGTCAAATTCAGAGCTATGAAAAGTCTTACTCAAGCTTTTTTAGAAAGATGAATTTTTTTCTCAAAAATTTGGCGCAATATTTAAATATAAAGTTAAAAATCAAGCTTGAAACACTTCAGATGTCGTAACGATTTCAATTTTACAGGGTAAAAGCATCTTATGCGGTGAAGATCTCGGTTGCTTTAATGATTTTAGGTTCTGTAATTGCAGCTGTGTAAGTTTATTTAATTTTATGACATTCATTGTCGTAGAGTTGTAGATTTACGCTAGGTTGTACGTTGATTCATTTTATATATAGAAGGATGGAATGTTGAAGATTATACTTTTTATGGAAAGGTGCTACCACAAGTATTTTGACGGAAGTGATTAGTGCATAAATTTCGATGTAAATCCTGTTACTACGGTCTTGTCACTATCGACACAGAAAGTATCTGTTTTCTGCTAATAAGGATTTTTGATTTTTATGGAATAAATGCTACCATAAGTTCATTTTTCGAAAAAAAAGTGTAAAGCAGGATGCATTATATTCCATCTTTCTCTTGAATAGTTGCTATTTGTCAAAATTTTGAAATTTGGATGAGAAAATTGTGGTAGATAGTTTAAAAGTAATAACATAGAAAAATCTATTCCAATTTCAATTTACAGGTTTGATTTAACGTTTGATGTTTGGGGGTATTCGATGATTTTGATCAATGATATTTGTACAGCCGCTAATAGTGTTTATATGAAACAGAAGCTTAATACAAAGGTACAACTTTAGGTTTTCGTGTTTTGACATAAACATTTCCATGAATCTTGTTTTTTCTTTCGATGTTTTACCGTTTTATTGAAGACTGGGCATTTCAGAAGTTTGGTAAATATGGTCTTTTATATTACAATGCACTATTTATGATTCTTCCTGTGATTATTTTGGCTTGTATAAATCAAGAATTTGAAAAGGTAACGAAAGTACAGCTTAAAGTGACTCAGTTTTTTTGCGATGGACTCGCTGTTGTTATATCACTGTTGTTTTGTGATTTTAGCTGCGCGATATTCCTCAACAGTTAAGCAGGTCTTATGATTTAGCAGTTAATGTGATGCTTTAAAGCAGTAACAAAAATTTTGTTTTTAAAATATTCAAAATCATTAATATTAGATGCTTCTTTTTCTGATACAATATTTGAATATTAAATCAGAGATTTAAGCAAGAGTCTCTCACATTAGAATGATTCTGAAGCATGTTAATTGAAATAATGGACTGTTTTTTAGGTACAGCAATATATAATTGCTGGAAATATGACGATATGGGTAGCTGCTTGTTTATCGTTTTCGTTTGTTTGCGGCTTCCTGCTCAACTGTTCGATTGTTTTATGCACACATCACAATAGTGCTCTTACCACTTCATGTGTCGGCCCATTTAAAGTGAGTGTTTGTTTTCTTTAAGAATTTCCTCAATTTTCGCTCATTTTCTACTGCTAAGCAAGCTCCAGTGGACGGCTCAAAATTTTTGCTACTTTTCTCTTTTTGTGAATTTTTGTGAGAGAATTACGGCACCCCTTACTGAAATATAAGGGATAATAACCTGATTAAACTGCACTGATCAACAAACGGCGCGCCGAAAAGGCGAGTTGTTAAAATAGTTGTTAATTCACTATTTTACATGGTAATGACTTCTCCTCATCATAGAAAAGACGCCACTATGTAAAACAATCCATTAAACATCCAATATGCTCAATAATGTCATATTGGTTATTCAACAAGACTCAGAAGCACATCCTTTTTTAAACATAGAAAGTGAGCAGCTAACGAACGGCGGAAATTGTAATACAGCAACATGTATACTTTGCATATGGAAAACAATTCAAATGGATAAGGATGTAATTGCATAATAAGGCATCGTGGAACCTGACGATTACGATAAGCGTACTGTTGTAGGACTACAATTAGAAATTATTAATAATATATATACATAAGCCGCTTAATGTTCGTCGGAATTGTTGCTATCTTTTCCCTCCAGAATATGTTGTTACCTAAACGAAGGGATGGCTCTTCTATCGTTAACTTTATGATACACCATTTGTCAGAAATTAATGTCGAGTTTTTTTCTTTCCTTTCCAAACAAAATTCATTTTAGAACTTACTTGTTACTTATGTTGGGATGTTCTTATCGGGCGACTATTTGTTTGGATGGAACAATTTTATCGGTATCAATATCAGCATTATAGGGAGCCTTCTTTATACTTACGTCACATTCAGAACGGAGAAAAGAAGTGCAGAAGAGAAGAGTGCTGGAATGCTACCTAAAGTTGACCACAAGCAACCTTTACTATAGCACTATTATATATGCTTGCATGGTTAAATTGTCATGCTGAAATCATTTCCCTTTTTCATATGGAGTTGGGATATAAATTATAGAATTTTCAAAAAAGTTAGATTCGTGCTTTCATTATTCTATTTTTTTTAAATTGATATATGATGATCTTAACTAGCTCCACTTAAAAAAGACAAAAATCACTCTATTATCATAAGCTGTTGTCTGCTTTCCACCCCTGTTCAAATGATTTCATTTCAGTTGCCTAATTTCCTTTATCTGTAAATTGATTCGTAGGCTGCCGTTTTCTATGCAAGTTACACCAATGTGTTGTTGGCCCTCCTTTTACTCATCGGATTGTTTGACTCCCATATTTCCACAGTTCATATCCTAACAACTTTCATCATTACGTGACCCATCAAAAAGCTGGTAAATATCAAGTAATTGACATCACTTGCTCAATATAACAATAAAGTACAACCATTTTCTTCTTGATGAGCAAAATAAAATATTAGAGTGATGAAGCGCTTCGTTCACGTGCATCACACACTGACAACCGGACCGAGCAGCAGCATGGCTACCGGATTGAAACAGTTCCTAATTAAATGCGAAAATTGCAAGCACATTATTCAAAAGCAAACTAATCATACTCAGAAATGAGGAAGGGCAACATCCTTTTGTTGGTCATTGGATTCATCCAAATATCAATTTGTTTTGCTTATCAATGCTAAAAAATAATCTGAATGCACATGCAACAAAAATTAGCTGAAAGGAAGGTGTGATTCAAGCCAGCAATAGCATAAATCTCAGTTTAAGATGCTGTTTAATGGAGTGTAAATTTTCAGCACTTGGTTAGGCTAAGTTGCATTTACCATTGAAATCAGAACAATTTCCACTAATTTGCAAAAGATAAAGTAATCCGAGCAAAAAACTCGTCAACGAAGAACAAATATCAAAGAGCTATGCAGTAAACACCGAACAGCTTACTATAAGAAAGACAACATGAACATGCAACACGAAAACAAATCTTTCTTTTGGAGCGGAAAAATATGTTTTGGGAATTTTTAAAGTTCATTTAAAAAAGTTTAATGGTAATGGGCGTAAGAACTAGATCTGCAAATGGGACCGAAAGACGACGACCAAAAGAACTAAACTGTCAACTAGCATGTAGCCTCATCAACCAGTCTTTCCTCACCATTCACCTCACAATGTATTAATATTTGAAAACAGGAACATATTCAAATGAAAGGCCATAAAATAAGCGGGTAAAGATCGAAAAAAAAATGATATATCGCTGATACAACATTAGTTTCCTAACAGCAAATGAATATCAATGGGAAATACGGAATAATCGGGAAAGAATGCAAAAACGAGCGACATTATTGATTTCCAGTTAAACAATCAAAAATGTGTGCTGCCCTGCCAGTCAGTTTCTTTACCAAGTTTTGCATTCTTTCAACGTTATTTTTGCTGCAAAGTATGATCAACAAAGCAACTACTATTTGCCATGTATAATGAAATGCAGTGGCTTGCTAATAAAACCGGAAAATAAAAAGCGACAAATGCCCAACGATTGTAAATATAATAAACAGCAAAGGAATTCTCGCAATTTAAGTCCATCAATTAAAAATCTCGAAAGTTTTCAGCTTCTGACAGTTTTATTTTACAACTAGATCAGTAAAGGAGGGAAACAATATAAATCAGCTTATTACTTTACTACACATTTCCATATTTGAGCATAACCGCACAACATACATAAAATAATAGAGCACAATCCTAATAAATCATGTTGATTTATTGAATTTTTTTAATTTATCTTCTGTTCTTCTGTTTTAATTTATCTTCTTTCATAATTTATATCTTCTGTTCTCTAAAAGAATAGTTTTGAAAATAAGAGCAACTTTACTAATAGAAAAAACTTAAATTCGAACTTATTACGAAGAAAGTACGTCGATCAATTATTACTTGCATTATCAGTGATATTGCTTCTTCCTTGAACTACTGTGCGTACTAAAATATTTAAATCATCTGGGCATTTAATTTCGAGATTAGCATTCACAGCTTGTCTTAAGAGGAAAAGATCATATCCTGAATTTCCTGCTTTCACGTTCAGTTTTGGTGCTGGCATATTTGATGGTGTTTTCTGTTCTGATGCATCCAAAATTTTCTAAAAATGCTGATTAAAAAGTGCTTCATATCTCTTATTTCTATCCAATTGAATTACTTTTGTTGAAATAAAATGCTTGTGACAATAAAACTAGAAAGGATTGCATCTGATCGATAGGAATGATCATCATTTAATTTCTTTAAAAAACGAAAGAATCCGTCAAACAATCATATAACATATTTCATACTACTAAAAAAAATTGCGACATACTTCATCACTTCAGCAACTAAAAAAATAATGAAATAATGAAATGGAATAAGGTACATTTTTTGCATTGGCTTTATTATACAATGCCATATTCTAGTCATAACAAAGAAGATACCTGATAAACCCAAGGCACTCTCTGCAAACCGTTCGAATTTGATAGCAGTTGATTCCACATGGAAACGACATACTGGATTGTCTGCAAGTTCGATCGACATTCAATTACAAATTTTTCCTAATCATGATTATTCTCATATGATTATTCTCTCTGACTGAAAAAAGAATATTCATTTTTCTTTTTCTAATTTCTTATTTGGCCTCCATAGTATTCATTTAAACTGTATCTCTCTATTTGTTGAAAATTATAAAAAATAACCGAGTCCAAAAAGTTTCACTAACCTTTTCGGAGGCGTCGTTACCCATCCTATGCAGTCGAACAATCATTGCTTTGTATTCCTTATCCAAAAAATTTTCATTGTTTGCCAAAATACTGTCATTCGATTCACTACCAATATGGTCAACGAGACGCTGACTTATCCTCTGCAATACTTTTAATTGAACATACTGTAAGGATTCAGGAAGAACATAGCCAACTTGGCAAAATTTGAACCAAACAGAAAAAGCTAAAATATGCACAGAATTAAAAATAGAACTAAGAGCTTAAAGGCTTAACTTACAATGACATAAATAATAAGAAGGGCATTGTGCACCAAACAGAAAAAGAGCTTTTGCTCTAAGTCAGAAGACTTCACGGTCGCATACATATCAATTCTCTCCATCATTCGAATGGAAACACAGAGGAGACGCGATTGCTGTATATCCATAGAAAGGGTAGTCCTGCTCTGCTTGCTAAAAATTAGTGTTTCTTGCACAGTGTCATATGCCATTACCTCCAAGAGCTCGAGATTCAAGAACCAAAATAATTTAAAACTCAAATGACTTTGTCTGAATTAAAAATAATTGCAACACTGTTTTAACAAAGCAAACGTGATCCCTGTCCACTTTATGATTATCTAATTGCTTGGGCGAATACTTACATTGAAGAAAGATCAACTTTTTTGACGATATCGTTTAACACAGCTATCATTTGACAAAACAATTCATAGAGGACATGCGTATTCTGAAATTGTAGCACAAATAGTAAATCCCTGCAAAACCTTTGAAGGAATTAAAAAAAAAAACACACATTCTCTTCAAATTTTAATTTTAAAAACCATTTAAAACCCAAAAGAATTCAATGCATTAAACGTGATTACATTCAGAGTGATTTCTGACGACGGATCATCTCCAACAAACTTCTCAACAACTTTCTCGCAAGTTGATATCACATTAGAATATTGCCTAAATTTAGATTTATCGATAGCATCAAAAACTGAATAGAATGAAAAAACTTTGAAATGAGAACCAAGGGGATGAAGAAACAGTTATTTGTATCTCCAAAAGTAGAAGCCAAACTGAAATTATTTTGTTAGGTCTAAAAAAATACTTGCACTAAAAGCAAGAATAGGTGCATACACTTACGCTGCATCTACATTCATTATCATTCGTAAAATGAAAACCGATCTTGCTGGGTTATTCAATGGTATGCCGAATATTGATGCCCAATCGATCAAGAACATTAATCTGTCAACATAAGGCACATTCGACATTTTCTGTGCTTTTTCATAATGATCCATGTGGTTTGCAAGCAACTAAAATGAAAACGAAATCAATTTTTCTTTTGTCAAAATATATAATGTTAAAAAAATAACATAACAAAATGACTTTTGGAAAATAGATTTTAGAAAAGAAGTAAGAAATGAAAAGCCAATATCCTCACTGATGCGAAAAAAACCTTGATTAAAGTGTTACCTCTTGTATCAGACTAAATGCACTTTCATCCCGCTCCAAAAACAATTCGTCCATTATATTCAAAGCACTCAAGGCACTGAAATCAAACTTTTTCACCAAGTTTAGTAAGTGATCGACAAAGGATGACATAAAGTCGATATACTTTAATGCAATTTTGATAAATCAGATATAGTGAAAGCAGGATTGCCAGTGGTACATCGCAAGAAATGTGCTAGATAAAAAGCCGAATCACTGAGCTGGATTATACAAACGGCAAAAAAGGAAATTGAGAGCATATGTATAGTAAGGCATATAACCAAAAACATAAAATCTTGAATAATTCTACTCTCTCGAAGTCTAAATTAATCAAGAATTGATTTCTACAAATCATCTATTTGCTTTAAATTTGATTTATCAAAGCAGTGGCAAAAACCTTTAACCTTTTCAACATGAACAGTCCGAAAAATCGTGCTGCATGCTCATAATGTCGTTTGCATAATACACCGAAATCAACCGGACCTTTATAACATATCATGTCCAGCAAATCCTGAAACTGCAAACACTTTGACATAGCTCTTACCATGCCTTTCAAGCAAGGAGAGAGAAAATCTTAATACTTAATCTAGAACCTCTATTTTTTTTTGCAAATAACTGGAAAAATATACCATATCACTGCAAGGAAGATGAAGATTGACAAAGGTTTTCTTTTCAGGTTCATACACAATGGTTGGATGGTCAGTATCCCACTTAATCATTTCTGCGTCAAACAAAGCATTGTCCGTGGAAACTTCAAGTTTCAGATCATTCGGCAAGCTGTCAATCAATTCAACGATTGATTGAGCTGGCTGCTTTTGTTCTAAAAATATGATAATATAATATCTCTGTACTTTAAGGAATAGAAAACTTCGCAAAGAAGAGAAATGCGATCTATAAGCAATACTACTCAATACAATGATCTGACTAAATCATATACGGAACGAAGTCAGCTCCAGAATGCGTTCTGTATTATGATTTATGATTTAGTTCATTTATAACCAATAATGCTTCCATATCAATATATCCGTAGTACTGGATAAGAACTTACTGAATTCACGGTCTTCTTCTAAATAGCAGAATGACTTTCGAGAATTACAATAATTAGAAACGCATCTAATTTGATAGATTGCTGGAAACCAGTAATTTCTAAACTACTCAAAAATTAACAATTTAGGATTACCGATTTCTATTTGTGTAATTATTTTCAACATTCGTTATTATAATCGTCAACTACTTGCAAAATTTGCTAAAAATCCAGCACTCTAGGCGCACTGCCTAGTACAGTTAATCACAATATAATCCTTTCTACACATTGTATGGAACAATAATCAACGAACACAAGCAAGCACAAATAAGCAACAAATGTACAACACAGCTATTAAAAAGTTTTTACCTTGTCCATAGAGTATGTTGTCACATTTCTTTCTCGTGTAAACTAAGCAATATGCGGAGCAAGCCCTCCTCGAACCAAATGAATCTTCTTCAATTTGCTGCCAAGTTGCAGGCTCAACACTTTTATCATTAAATTTACGCCATGGCACTTCTTTGTCTTGGGCATTGCATATCGGGGAACTAGCTATATAGGCCCAGTAATGTCCAACATTTGCTTCACCCTCATGGACAATAACGCTGTGCAAATGATATGGTTCCTGTAGCAGTATGAAGCATAAGTTATACACCCTAATACACATTTAAAATGCAAAAGGAAGACCAAATTTTATTGCTTAAAAGTAGTGAAGATACAAAAATAAAATTAACTAACCTCCCTCATGCCATCGACATCAAAAATCGAATCAATATTTTCTTGCAGTGTATTTGCCTCTTTTTGTAATTCTGAAACAACTTTAATTTAAATGAATAAATCTAGCGGAAAATTTTCAACAGATAGTTTAATAAACTAAATAACTTGATAATTAAGGAAAATTACGGAAACATACAATAACATTATTAAAATTTTGTTCAGTATTCCTCTTCAACACTTCATTTTATCTCATTTTAATCAAGATTTCAAGATTTTCAGAAAAAACAATATTCGTACCGTCGATTCGCTTTTGTGCATTCGCAGAAAGCATTTGCAAGAAATTTGTCACTGCACTGATATCAACATCTGCCGGGACTATCGTTTTATCAAGACAAGGACACGCTAACATTACATTTGCGTCTTCTAAATAGCATGATCCTAATATAAAAATAATTTTGCAATCCCTACACTAGAAAAAGGGCATTTTTAAAATACATTTATGACCTATTTTGAAATAAAAGAAATTAGATTTCTATATAACTAGAAATATGGTGATATACTTGGCATCATCTCATATTAAAGTAACAAAAAAGAGACCATACCTACATGAGGATTTGAAGAATCAGATACAACTACCGAAAGTGATGGAGTTTCGTCACTAACTTCCATCGCCTGTTGCTTGCAAGTGTCACAGTTGACAGAGATGTTTCTAAAATTATCATTTGGCAATACTATTACAATATTACAAGTATGACTAACATTAACTGATAATGGGTCACACTTCAAAATGTAACAGTGCATCCGGACGTCTTGAGCTTTATGTTCGCGATAAATTTAAGATGTATAATCACTACAATTTGTCAAAAAAGAACTCTAGGAACGAAAATATTCTTTGAAAAACTAAATCTGGCATAAGTAGACATAAATTATCGACGTTGTCTCCAAGCACATAATAACTGAAATTAACAGTAGAAATGTATTTGTAGAAGAAATTCAAATGCAAAGTCAATTTAAAAATAAAATTGACTGAGTTTTAATATGAACACAGTTCAACAGTAAAAAAAAATCCAACCCATTTGTCGCCGACGATGCGTATTTGACAACAGCATCTATCAAACATGGAAGCGGTACTTTCGTGTCTCCGGCTGGAAACTTCTCCCACCTGCAAATTTTCGTACTCTACAACCTTTTTGAGATTTACAAAAATAATAGATTATGAAAATAGTTAAAAATCGCAATATCAAGAAAAGCATGAATGAAGTAAATGCATTTGGCGTAAAGTGGCATCTAAGTAAATCCGGACATCAGCAATAACAGTCTGAAACATATCAATGATAGCTCAGGAAAGCACTGATCAAACATAATGGCTGTTAATAAGCTAACAAACCCTTCTAATTCACACTTGATATGTGCAAGCCGTTTCTTTAAAGATTTACGTTCAATCCGTTTCTCACTCACAAATGGACGATTTCGATGCAAATAACGATCCATGTATATAACACGAGGAAATTGAAATTGACTGTGAACTTTTTCTGTTTGACCATTTTTATAACTAAACCGAACCAGTGAAAAGATGACTACAGGCGGCAACGACTCAAACCATAACTGGAATGGAAAAATTACAGTCCTCATTTTTTAATATCATCAAAACTGTGAAAATGCCAAGACCATTAAGATGCAAAAAAATCATAAAACCTCTTTCGCCGGTGCATCAGAAAGATGATATGCCTCTAATGAGTCGTATAAGTTATCATAAGTGATATCCAAATTGATCATTTGTAGTGAGTTCGCTAACTTCAAAGGTGATGAAACTCCGACTGAGGTTTCTTAAATATACAGAATCATTAAGCAAACAGAAATTATAAAGTGATATAATTCAAATAAGTGAAGAGATCCAGCAGAGAGATCAATAGCTGTATTATTCAAGTAACAGAAGACAATATCACCCAGCTGTTCTGCACAAGTTTTCACAAATATTTTCAAAACAATACCAGCGTTAGGTCGAATTTCAACATGTGAGCCATGAAAAAGAGTATTAAATGGATGTTCCGGAGCAGAATTTGAATTGAGATCATCACTGGTTAATTTATCAAAAGACGCCTCACCGGCTGGCGTCAATGTTTGCTCAGAGCTAGAACCACTCGGCACCATATTTTCATCCTGCATTAACAACAAATGGTGAGTAAAAATATCTAGTTCTAAGTAAATTCTAAAATCTTGTGACCAATTATAAAAGATAGCATTGTTGAACTTACATTAATATCCATAATTTCGCCACACGAAACGCCGGAAGCCGATGGGCAAGAAGACTGCACTTCTGCTCCTGAATCAAATCTGAAGGATACTTCAAGCCACTCGATCAGTCGCAAAAGCATTTCGGTAGCATCCTGAAGCTTTTATTATTTTATTTTAGAAGGAAAAATTTATGGTTTCAATACTGTCAATAGTGACTATTAAAGCATAAGTATATCGTACTTCCAATCAAATATCATTAAAAGTACCTGTTGAATACCTATGCAGGGAGCAGCTTTATTCAAACTTGTATTCAATTCACTAATTATCTTTAACACATTTGTTGGATCAACATATGCGCGTGATGACGCTTTAAGACAGGCAGCTAGCTGACGAAGAGATATTAAAAGCGAAGTTGTTAACGCATCCATGTTAGTCTAAACCAATGATAAAAATTTAAAATTCATGCAATTTAATAGCTCATTTATAACCCAACATTTGTATGGAACTACTTTTCACACACTTTTTGGTCAAATTTTTTGTTTCACAAGCTCGCCATGATAACAAAAAAATCAGCTAGTATGAAATGTCGTGTGCAAATAGATAATTCGAAAAACAAGAGAGCAGAACTGCCACCCAACATAATTCTTATAGCTAGGAAATAAATATGTGAGAGAATACATGAAAAAAATTTAACTTTAGAGAATACATGAAAAAAAATCTAACTTTTGAAGTATTTTATCAAATTAAGAAGCGAAAAAAAAACCTCATTAAGTTGATTTGATTCATTCCCCCAAGGATTTGATTTGCCGGTGATATATTTCGTCCTATTTTTGATTGGTGTATCAAACAACATTTGGCGAAAACGTGGTATGTGAAACAGTGTCTGAAAAATCAGCGTGGAATGCATAAGCAAATGAAGCTAAAAACATCTATAGATCAACTGTCACCAAAGTTGAGTATTTCAATTTTAGTATAACACTTTCAATCAGACACATGAAGAATTCATATTTAAAAAGGTTAATGGTTTTCATTTTGTTTCATTATGGATATATTTGGACAGAGAGTCCCGAAGGCTTCACATGTCATTGTAGCCGAAACATACTTGCACAATAACGTTGAACCAACAACTGTTGCCTATATTTTTCAACCCCACAGGTGCTAAACCGCATCGTCGCCTTTCATATGGATTTTCTGGATCCCTCTGTGCAAAAGGAGAGAAACCAGAAATGTTCTGGTTGTCTTTTAAAGATTCTTCAATAGCTCTGAAAATATAAAATTGACATAAGATCAGAACAAAGAAATTTTTTCTTTACTATTAAATTTGTAATATAGTAATATGTACAAAACTGTTTTTGGACGGTTGATAATCGGCTATGCCGCTTCATATACACGCTTTATAACAATAATCTCTATAAGTAATTTAGGTTGCTCATCGCGATCATGCCAAAAGATGTATGTTAAAGATATATTACCCATAAAACAAAAAGGATTTTTAGAACATATTTATAAACATTCTGCGCAGTGGTTTGATATTTCCTCCGTTACACAAAACCCAAAGCGTTACAGAGAAAGCTTAAAAATATGAATGTAAACTAAGAACAGTTCAGAGAAATATGACTAACATACTTGATAACATCCTGCTCTTCTCGATTTCCTAGCACACTCCGTGGTACACTTCCCCATTTCTGAACACCTTTATCTTCATCTGATGCAAGATCGATTACTTTCGGTTCCTCCATCGTTGTACCACGTGTATTAAAAGAGAACGGATGGCTAATTGATGGAGCTGGAGCAGGAACATCCAAATGCTAAAAAAGTGCGGACTGCAATATGTTGTAAAAAAATTTAAAAATACAATATGCAGGAAGTAGTCCCCCATTAATCAAGTGAAATATTTATAGACATATTAAGCCTAACTTCCTTAGCTGTTGGCACAAACATCACCAAAACAATTTGAAACAGAATATAGATGCAAAGAGGAAGCAAATCTAAACTTTAAAAAAGAATGAAATTTGTTACATAAATGTTAAACAATGGTGTGACCTCGTCAAATCGGACTTGCTTATTTGGCTTCTCAACTGACTCCATCCGATCAAAATAAAGACTGATGACATCGTTCAAAACGTTATTACCACTTAAATGTGGTTGCGTATGAGACCCATGACTCTGAAGTATATATATAGAATTATCGAATTACTATAAATTTATTGAAATGGGAAACTAAGATTCCAGGAGATCACAATTTGAACAAAAGTATTTGCACAATTTGCACAATGGTCTGATAGTTTCTCATTTCAATGTTGTAAAAAAATCCAATAAATTATAGTACTGAGTGCAAAAGCACTCATGAGTCATCACTATTAAACCATTCATTAGGACCACCACCTTATCTACTAAGTACAATATGTCCTAGTGTTTATCCAACATGGGAGCTTGGAAAAGAAGAGGTTATGCTGTATGGCTGAACGTTCACTGTATGATTGAATCCAATGAATGAGAGAAAAAAAATCATAGTCATTAATAACACATTAGTTACAATATTTTCAACCCGAAACTAACCTTGATCGCCTGCACGAGCATTTGTTCATTGACGCTACTGCCTAAGAAATTTTTTACTTCATTGAAGAAACCTAATTCTTCCGCTGTTAGCGCATTTTGCTGGAAGCATTTCTATTCATCACAGTATGATAACGAATTGACACAAATCATCTTCATTATTGATAAATTACAGTTATTTCATTCCCTCCATTTCTTTTCTGCTATTTTGACCAAGGCAATTAATGAATGGAATGCTCCTTATTTATATAATAGTAAACTAACATGAAGGGATCTCGACACTCGTTCTGGTTCTTCCCCTTCGATCGGGCCGGGACCCTTGCCTCCCACTACCGAGAGTATTGTCATCAGTTACCGAGATCTGCAAAAGCACTCATGAGAAACATCTCCGCATTCTTCTACATTATAACATCATTTAACATCATTCAGCATTGACCTTTCCAACTCCTTCCTCTCCCAGCTTCTTATCTTTACCTTTCACTTTCTTCAAACAAACACTTCATTACCACATTCCATACAAATCATAACTTCCACTAATGACAAATATTTTGGAATAGTGCCAAAGCGTTTATAATTTTGCCACAAGTTGAAGAATTTGCAAAACTCAAAAAAAGAAGCCCATAACATTCAAGGCGACTTCGCAGGAATAACCTCAGAAGCTATTTGAAACAGTAATGATTTTTCTGACTTAGATTTATTAAGAGTCAAATCATAATCCCAATGAAAGAGCACAGGAAGGAAAAGATGAATTTACTGAATATATCCCCTCTGACCAAATATAAACCATGCGAGAAAATATACGATCAAATATACGACCCTCTATCTATCATATGCAAGCATCACACACAACCAGTTCACCGTGACCCGAATACAGCAAATTAATTTCCTTTCTTTCCACTCATCAGAAAAATTAACAGCGTGAAAATTTTCGTTGTAATATCGCGACTGAACGACATACAGCTGCCAGTAAGCATAATTTCAATTTCAATAAAAATGCGAGATAATACAGCGCGTTGGAGCAACATAATAAGAATGCGGTGGGGGCTTCTGCACATTTTAACCGATGTTTATTATTTTTAATATAGTCTGTATCTAATCGATCTAATCGTCTTTTGAATCCTAATTACCTCAAACTGCATGCATTATTCGACAGAAGAGCACCGATATTTATTGGAAAACTCTATTAAGGCAGACCAGTGATATGCCCAGAACTACCATTAAACGACTCACGCATTGTCTTTTGACTTCAGCTACCCTTTTAATGTTTCGATGATTTATGTATTGTCTGCCCATTAAAATATTAGTTTCATTATCACTTACTAGACATCTACCTGAGAGTAACCTAGGTTACCTAAGTCTAAACAATAATCCGTTATACGTTACGTTTACTTTTCAGTGCTCTCATTCGAGTATTTTTGGCTATTCATATTTTGATCTACCTCATTATAAAATAAGTACGGCGGGGTGCCACTGCTATCAAGATATATAAAACCAATTGGAATGGCCGTTCATTTGTTGATATATCTCAGTCTGAGAGCTTGAAAAAGAATGGATCAATACTACATCTCGCGGGGACCTTCCAGAGAACTAATCCTCTCCTCTCTTTTTCCCCTCCTCCTCTCCAATGTAAACCTCTCTAGCGAGGTGTGTCAACAAAATTACTTGCATGTATCGCATGGAGCGTACCGTCCGAAGTTTATATCAAGGGCGCACCATTAACAAACCATTAACAGGTAAGGTCTGATTTGAGGGCGCGACTATGCCTTGGTGGTGATCGAGGTGGAGTCTTGTATGTCCATTGGGTACGGTATGCGAGGAAGTTGAAAACTTCGAGATTTCTTGCTCTTTGCTTTTCTTTTCATTTTGATTTTCTACATGAGCACACTTTTTCAAACACATTTCTTCCTCTTCCCGTGACTTCGTGATGTTATGCATTAGCGTTCAATCCCCTCCACTACGTAAACGTCCCATTTTACGTATAGGAACTTAGGAAGCCGTATGGCGCGTATTTTGAACATAGGTAATTTTGTTGCTCTGAATGTTTTTCTTATCTTACAGTATTCATCGAGCATTATTTGATATTGACAGCGATGACGCTTCATATTAGCTGTCGTTCTTGGTGTAATTATCACTTCTGCTTTCTACATATTTATTATTATTGTTTAGTTCTTTTTCTTCGTCTATTTTTTGCTAAAAAAAATGTTTCAGTCTTTACAAAATTTTCTTGCTTTCTTTTTTTCATCTCCCTTGGCTTTTGCAATTGAAAGTTGAGAGCCGTTTGAATCATATGAAAGAGGGCAATTATAAATTCTTAATATGAAAGGCTTAATACCACGAGGTGAAGATTTTCAGAAACTGTATTTTAATGTTACGTGATTGACTAAATGAAATATTCCTTCAAATTTCTATTCATTTACAGTTAGATGGACGGAAGCATTAACTGAGGGTACTTATTACTTTGATAGTTTGGGCAACAACTTAAAAGATTTTGTATCCCTCAATTCTAAGATTGTTATTTCAAAACAAACGTCATTGTTATGAGGTTTATAAGGATAAGACCCGATAACGAATAAAGTGAATATATTCATATTGTCTTTGTTACTTCTGTTTTTCTATTTAGTATTTATAGCTTTCATCAGTTGATCAAAAAAGGGAGTTGATTTCGATTAATTTCCTAAGGGAGAATTCAAATATTTCAATTCAATTTGGAAATACAAATTTCTTTGTTTTGATTTAAAATTATTTTCGTCATCATTTTCCTTTTACTGTAAGTCAAAGTTAATTTTTTCCCTCAATTTTCAAATCCAATATTAGAAATAAAACCTTATGTCAATATTTGAATACGATATTACGTTGATTTGCGAATATGAAGTTCTCTGTTAAATCCTTTATACATTTTTATTAGAACATTTTCGTAATTTCTTCAAGATTTATTTGGAAAGTTGTGTGGACTTGTAGACTCCTCATGCTGTATTCGTTAGCATTTTGCGTTGTAAATTTTGATCTTTATACTCTTATGCTTTTTGAGGTTTCTTTCTGAAAAAAATTAATATGGTAATGATTGCTCTCGTTCCGCGCAAATGATGCGCATTTATCGTAGTGCCGATATTGCTTAAGCGTTTTCATATATATTTTTAAGAACAATTTTAAATGTGTCCTGGATCCATAATACTTTGTATTTTGAAAGAGTAAACACGGAAGCCAATGTTAGATACCCATACCCACATTACTGGCATTTTTGAAAGGGTAAACACGGAAGCCAATGTTAGATTTCACCACCAATTATATAAATGGAAAAAAGTCTGCAAGTATTTTTTGAAAGAATTTATAGAAAGAAACTTGCATATCAATCGATTTTATTTTCGTGCTTGTTTTAGCGTTAAACTGGCACATGGTGGTTGTTTCACTTCACTTTTTGTTTAGATTTCGATTCGGAATAAAGTTGACAAAAGTTTGAATTGCTTCTGTCACCGTTAATTCTTGTAGCTGTTCGTATTTTGGATAATCTTTCCTTTTTAATGCTTTTTGTATTCACTTTATGTTCATCGTTTTTGGTGTTGATTGCATCATCTACTTTACCAAAAATTGTGGGTATCCAATTTTCAGCAGGTATCTGTGATTCATGGAGGAATCTATTGGCCAGTCAAGACCAGATACGTTGAAATTGAGTCAGCCAGTAAGTGTCGATGCTGAAGTGCAAACCGAAAATGGAATGCATCGTGAGGGGAAATTTTACCGTGGGCGTGGACGAGGGCACTGGAGGGGTGGTGGTCGTGGCGGCCGACCATTCAAACGTCGAGCACGTGGAGGTTTTTTACTACGAAACATATTACAGATTTGGATTGCTATATATGACCTAAGAATTTAAAGATTCACTTATGATATCCTCAATTCCCACCTATATGTTTGCTGATGTCATAGTTATTTTAACTTGCTTCATTAGCAAACATCTTTGATCAAATATGTTACTTGACAGAAATTCATAATTGAGATGAATTGTTGTTACTGATTTTGTTGAAATCAAGTTAATTATTTTGAAGATGCTGGATCATGGAACAAGCGACGACGGTTCGGTCATACAGGTACCGTTGATGATTTTCCTTATCTTCATGGTGGAAACAGTAAGGATCCGTTAAATCTAAAGTCGGTTAAGCCAGTGGACGAAGCAGAAAATATGAAACCAGTCGACATCATTATACCGAAGAATATTCATGATCCTTTAAATCTACGAAATGTCAACAAGAATCGTGCTAGAAGGTTTTTTTTTTGATGCTCTAAATCTATTGTTTTCATTTACATAAAATGTTGATGACGATATGAATGTAAACACTTCCTATATTTCGGCAAAAACTTGGGATCGATTATATAGCAATAATCTTAACTAAGCGTAAATGTATTAAGTGTTTTTTAGAATATCATAACATTTCAAAGATATTTGATATTAAAATAGTTCATCAAATATGGCAAGTGCTATCACTGTTATTTCGATATTTCTTGTAAACAAATTCTTAAATTTGAAACCAACCATTTTTTCTATGTTTTCTTTCAGAAAAAGACGTAATAGCAAACTGACAGATAAAGAAGAAGTTGAAGGCAGTAGTGAAAACTCATCCAAACGACGTGGGAGCATTGCTAGCGGCATAAACGAAAAAAGACAAGAAGATCCAATTGTTTCACCCGTACCTCTTTCAGTCGTGGTACCGATTTAGTTTTTGCAGCGAGTTACAATATTTGAAAATTTTCATTTAGAACAATGGAAAAACTGTCCGATTTCTTCACTTTATGTTTCAAATTAAGTATATTATTTTCATCCTAGTTCCTTATTCTACTAGTCCTCAGATAAACTTGTTGGGAATTTCAACTGTTTATAAGTGTTTTTAAGAGAAAGTTTTGCGGAAATTTATCCAAAAGGCTACTGCATCAAAAAACTGAAAAAAGAGGGCGAAAATTGCAAGACAGCACTGAAAAACTGCAATCATCATCTGGAGCGGTAGCAGGGGCGAGTAGCTTACAAGCAGTTGAAATATCCAAAGTAGAAGATGAAAAAATTGCGGACGAGAAAAGGAAAAAGTCGGAGAAGAAAGACAAAGATAATCAAAGGTTCGCTCTTTGTATTAATGTCCAAATTTCGAGATTCTGAAAAAAAAATAGGTTGGACAATTTTCTTTAAGAATGGCCATTGTCCTTTAAAGCTACTAGTTAATGCCAGAAGTAAATTTTTATTCCGCAGTAGAAATAATTGCTAGTGGTTTAACTCCTTTTTTATCTGCTTTTTTCTTTTCGCATTCTAGAAATGAAAAATTATGATTTCAATTTTCGAAATTTTTCTCTAAATAATTCCAGAAATACAGAAAAGTTATTGAAGGATTTAAATAATTGTCATATATTTCGCTAATATGACAAAAATGCGACTTTGTCAGAAAAGCAATTCATTAGGACTAGAATTTTCCAGTTCAGCTGAATTATTTAGTATCATTTCTTCCCTTGGGCTTTTTAATATTGCAATTAAGTGAGGATTTCCTTTGCAGATTTCGGTATGGTAATTATACTCGATATTACGGAAATCGTCTTGAAAAAGGTAGTGGCAGCGATCCGCGGATGAAAGTATTGAAAAAAGAATGGTTCGAAAAGAAATCGGTTTTAGATATTGGTTGCAATGTTGGCTATTTGACTCTTTCAATTGCCAAAGAGTACCAGCCAAGGAACATCATTGGTATTGATATTGACGCCCATTTAGTTGGTGTGGCCCGAAAGAATATACGTCATTATTGTGACAACGATGTACCTGTACGCCCTTAATTCTTCAATGTTTTTCTGAACTTTTTGTAGTAAAATTTCAACCTCGGAAACATAGCCAAAATTTGAGAGACAAGCAAATAACACTTTTGTTTTCTTGTTATGTTGTTTCGAAAATTTTTCCAAAGTTAATTGCCACAAGCAGTTTCAAAATTCCTTGTGGCAGTTGAAACAAGCGCTTAAAAAATTGAAATACATCTGGTGGGTTTTTGAAGACTATCTGGTTTTTATACAATGATTCAAAAGCCGTAGCTTTTCATTATAGCGCAAGTTGAATTTGGTTTTTAACTGAGGTTGGGCAATATTTTATTTGGGTGTTAGAATGAATTCCTTTTTTGAATCATATTACTTGATTTGGAATTGTGGGTTGCGAAATTCTATATCTAGATTGTTGGTGGTTTCCCAGCATCATTTGCCCAACGCTATGGGCCAGTTTCTGCACCGCCTACAACTATTTCAACCAAATTTCCTGATAACGTATGGTTTCGCTGCGAAAATTATGTGTTGGAAAAGGATGAACTACTTGATGCGGTATGTAATTTCATTTTATCAATCGATATCTGGCTAGGACATTTCATCAGCATATCGAAGTGACTATTTAGTGCTAAGTCTTAATAACTTCAAAAATTTAAAACCTAGTTGACGAGAAAAAATTTTTGTTACCATTGAGTCCGAGGACATTGTCACAAAAAACTTTTGTTACCATTGAGTCCGAGGACATTTGTCGCTAGATTCATTTTATAGTAAATTATTGTTTTTCTTTCATACCATCAATCGAATTATAAATATTTTGAGGTGAAAGAAGAATACGATGTTATCATGGCATTAAGTATCACTAAGTGGATTCATTTGAACTGGGGAGATGCCGGAATCAAACGTTTCTTCAAACGTGTTTATCGACATCTTCGCTCTGGTGGTCTGTTTATCTTGGAAGCACAAAGTTTTGAAACTTATAAGAAGCGAGCAAAGCTGACGGCAAGTTACAAGTTTACATGACATATATTGTCTAATGCTTCAAACAATTGAAACGATTAGTTTTAAGCAAAAATCTTTAAATGATATATATCTGAGTTTTAGAAAGACATCAATGAGATGTACAAAGCTATTGAATTTATGCCAAATGCATTCCAAGAATATTTGATTGTCGACATTGGTTTTGATTTCTGTCAGTATGTCGATCCCCCCAAAGCACATACAAAAGGTACTTTTCCTGTCTCATATCTAGTTTGCATCGTTTATTTATGATAAGAATGATATAATTCGAGATGAGTATCATCTCACATTTAATATGCTTTTCAAAACACTGGAATCTTAAATTTGTGATTCCTTTTCAAATTTTCCAATTATTGTTTAAAGCATACTGTTTCAGGTTTCGAGAGACCGATACAAGTATACCGCAAGCGGGTGTCTAATCATTTTACCAGAATAAGTTGTTATGATCATGGCGGAATTCCAAAAGTCTGCGCTACGGATTCATTTTCACAGTGTGATGTTGCTTCTGAAGTCGTGGCCAAAAGTCCAATTGCGATGGGTCACATGTAGATAAGGCAAGTGTTGTCATGTTACACCTTACTGATTGTTAGCGCTCTTAGTTTTCTCTTCCAAATGTTTTGGGTCTTCGTAATAATATATTTCACAAGCTTGTAACAAAGATCCTTTGTAAAATTTTAAGTATAAGATTGCAGACTTGTTTTTTATATTTTGTAGACTTCGGATTTTGTTTTCAGGATAAAAAAAATTTGCAATAAGACAAGCTCATGATTGAGTTCCTCTGGAAGAAAAACTGAAACAAAAAGTCTGATGTGTAAGTTGTGGTTGTTCATTTTTGCGGTACTATTTATTGTTAATCTTTTCTTTGTTGAGTTTCTTCTAAATTTCATGTAAGATTTCCGAAATGTTTTATCGCTTACTTTTTGTTATATTTTGCAAGGTTTCAGAGAGGGTGTAGATGGATATATGCTTATAGCCTCGCAAGAGGAAGATTCTAAGCAGATATTGTGAATAATTCTGTTCTTATTCTATTTTTGTTTGTAAAATGTATTGTGAAAAGGAATGTGAGATATTCAACTAATACTAATTTTGCATTTTGTATAGTATCTATACAAGTAATATCAAAATTAAGGCAGTTGCTTTCAGTTCGCATACTGGTGTTTCTTGATACGTAAATCTATTTGCATTGCTTTTTTTGTCATGCATTGTTCTTATTCATTTTATTAGTCTTTTTTGGTTATTTCAAATATTTGAATTTGTCCAATAAATGAAAGTTTGTTCAATTGATTTATGAATTGTTTTGATCAATGGCAGTAAGCATTTTGTTGATGCAGTATATTTAAATTGAGCATTTATGAGCATACACAAGTTTTAGTTCATTTACCTAATGATAGCTAGGGTTCGATAGTCTACCGTCCTCCTACATTGTTTTGTATACGAAAACTAGTGTGGGTTCATTGGTGCGCATAGGAAGTTTACTGGATATATTTTTCCATAGTATCATTCAGCAGCACCTCTGTATTTTCTGTCGTGTCTTCTAGCTATGGTGTCCTTAATTTGATGCGAAAGCGGTTCATTTGAAAGAGATTCTTTTTAAAACTCCATTTTCCTGAGTGATCATCTCGAAATAACTTCAAACGGTTGAGGAACGAGTATGAGATGCTGGGATTCTCTAAATGTGATTGGACTGTATGTTTATATTACCTAAATAAGTAGGTTGTCATCATTGTGCCAAAATACGTGCATTATATGATTCAGAAAGTGGAGTTAATATATTTCCTTCATATCAGAGGGCGAGTGCGCATTCGTTTCTGAGAAAGATTAATACCAGTTTGATTATTCTTAGTTTATTTAGTGATAGAACAGTCTTTCTTTAGTTTTAAATACAATTAATTGACTGTGAGCATGAGGCTTTTGGAGTTTAATGAAGGGAAAAGCCAGCAAATATATGATTTAAATTTTTTTCTATTTCATCACAGAAGCAATGATTGTTTAAAATGTTTGGGCTAAATCGTTATTTGTTTTTCTTCGCATTTTCAGCTAAATGGAGTGGCCAAAATTCGATTTTGCTAAACGTTCGCATGTTCGGTCGAGGCGACTGTCAAGTGCCGGAAAATCGAACTCTGGCTTGAGAAAGAGTTACCCTAATGTTTGTCGTTCTTTAACGGCCGATTTTGAAAATATCAAATTTAGGAAGAAAGAAAGTTTAACGAAAGGAAATACTGCACAAAACGAAAGTATTGTAACCCTCCGTCAGCAAGCGTTGCAGAATAGCAGTTCACCAATCCGCTCACAAAGAAATCCATTCCAAATGAATGGGAAAATGAACAAGGAGAGAATACCACCGCTGTCGCCAATTCTTGTCAATGGATTCCTAAAGAATCCAACAACATATTTGTCTACACCTTTGAGAAGATCAAGTTCAAATTTAGAAGAAATGTTAACATCATTAAGATATACAAGTTCAATAAATCCGGTAGGAACCAGTATTTCATATTGCGAAAGTCCGATTGCTCGTGAATCTCCAGAGCCCCTATTAACCCCGCCATATGCGAAGCAATTGCTTTTATCAGATGGAAATCCAACTTTCTCGTTGCAAAGATCAGTGGTAACACAGAGAAGCCAGACTTTTGACAACCAGTCACAAGTCAGTTCTTTTGTTACCATCGCAGAGAAGTCCAATAATTTGAGTTCGAAGTGTAGAAAAAATGGTAAGAAGGTAAATCATAGTACGAAATTGCGTGCATTTCCATCGATAGCAGCCTCAATAAGTGCCCATTCTTTGGATAGCTCCTTAACATCTGTGGAAACTCTACCACCATCTCAAACTGATTGCAAAAATTTAAATAAGGATGAAAACTTTCCAAAGTTAGATTTTATCAGTTCTCAATTAAGTTTTGAATCTGGCGAATCCATCACGACACGACATACAGGAAGCGATAGTGATGTTTTTCAAACTCATACCGTATGTGTTGATGATTCCGATAGTGTTACAACTACGAGTGAAAAATCTCGTGATTGCTTTCTCGATATAACAATTCATGAGATTGAACCAAGTGACCCATCTTTTGAGAGGGAACTTTTTGTACAAAATACATCATCAGCAACAAATCAGTTAAAAATATATGATTTACAAGAGGAGAACGATGAAACGCCACATCAAAAACAATATCATCGGTTAAGTAAACTAGCAGAAACTCTCAAAAAGCGTTTGTTTATTAGCTCGTCAGATTTAGTTATGTGGAAATGTGAGGAACCGAAACAACAGCCGATTAGACAAGTTGCAGTGATTTCGAATGTTGAGCAGTGGGGATTCTGTTGGACATTGGTAAAGGATGTTAGCGATTTCGAAACTGCCCATATTGTGGACTCTGAGCCAATGAAAAAAATTACAGACGTGATGTCCAGGAACAGAAGCGAGAAAGCGAGAAATACTAATGATGATAATGAAGGTCAGAGGTGTCATGATTCACCTTCACAGGAAACTTTCTTTCTTTATCAGCCTCTTTCGAAGTTAAGTACTTCTACGGGTGAGTTTATTCTATCGCCTCGTTATTATCGTTGAATTCATTTCTTTCTTTAATATTAAGAGTGATGTATGATAAAGTGTACTATTTGTTTGAATAGTGAAATTTTTTTTGAATAGAATTCATTCTTGATACGTGAGAATATAAGTATATTTCGAAGGGTTATATATCGAATTATCCAGTTTTGAAATTTGTGGGTGGGATTTTTCTGAATAATGAAACAATGATGTTGATATTTGACGTCTTTCGTTTTTCGTTTTTTTGTACGTTTTTGTACGTGGAACGCGAATTAATTGTGCATTCTGAAATCTATTCCAGTAGATGCTGAAAAATAAAAAGAGTATTTCTTCATGCTTTTGCTCAAATCGTTTGTCAATTTGTAAGAAATGAAATGCTACAGTTCATTAAATTAATTGAATCGATTATTAAAAAACTTTATTTGCTCTTAGCATTCCAATTTTTTTAGATCGTAGAGGCGCTTCTCTATGTTTATGAATTGATTTGTCATTATGACATTAATTGTTTTGATTTATGTTAACACAGTAATTCAGCTCATGATATTGCTCTATGTAGTTTCAATTTGACAGATCAAATGTTTTATGCGCAGCTCGTCATTTCATGGATCAAACTCAGTGTATCGTTTTAAATTTAGCTGTGAAGTAAATTGAATATTTGAATGTTTCGATATGAAGAGATCATCGAGTTAAATGGTTGTGAACAAAGGAAAAAATAGTCGATTTCTTAAATTCATAAAAATACATCTACAAAGTTGTTTATTGAACTGTGATATAAAATGTAGCTGGACATTTAAGCAGTGTATTCTTTGGTTCGTTATATGCCTGTACAATAAATATTACTGTTAATTTGTATAAAAAGAAATTCCATGTTTAGAAAACTCACAGCATTGTTCTCGTTTGAATTCTTATGGAACATACAGATCTAACAATCAGGGCCTTCCAATAGATTCGGTCCTCAAACTGTTGGAATAATGGAATGAAGAATGTGGTTTTTAGCTGCCTTTCGATAATTACTATCTATTAAGGTGATGATTTTGTACTCCTCAAAAGTAAACTGGAAATAATCAATTCTGATAAAACTATCATTTATCACCCCAAGTGACGAAGTTGAAATATAATGCCGTTCTGTGGCGTACGTCGGGTCATAACTATTATTATTTGCTAGTAAGAGGAGAGATGATAATTTTACCAAACTGACGGTCGGAGTTGATCATTTGAGAGGTTTGTTTTACAATCATTTTTGCCAATTTTATCCCCGACTCGACTACATCGTAGAAATCCAGCTTGTCAAATGGAATTCATAAAGTTAATGGCAAACGGCGCATAAATATCCCTCAATTATAAGAACTTATCCATTTTTGCAAAGTTTTACGTCAAGAAGGGTTGTTTATTAAATAGAAGCTTCAAGGATTCTAATATAAGCTGTAAAATAGTTTGTGAAGATTTCTGCTCAACGTTTCGTTTTCATTATCCTGATTTGTTTTAATTTTGGTAAGTAAGTTACTTTAATTTTAAAAGCTCACTTTAATTTCTAATATTTCGCCAAAATTTGAAGTAAACATGCTTGAGTCACTAGTTCAGGACGAAAGATATAACATATCTGATTCAGATTGCTTTACACTCCTTATTCAAGAATGTGCAAAAGATTTTCAAAATTAAGGGTAACTATGGTAGAATCATCTTATTCCGGTTCGGCCATCGACTGCGCTTATTCTGTTGTAGTTCAAACAAGTCGCAAAGAAAATGCTGGAACCACAGCGAACATATTTGTACAAGTGTGCCTGTTGTTTGACTTCATTTCTTTAAATTATAAGTACAAATTTAAAGAATTCGAATTTTTTTGACATCAACTTTATATCCAGAGCATGCTACAGTATCAGTTAGGAACAAATACTACTTTTGCAGTTAGCGGATATCGAAGGTAAACAAACAGACAAAGTGCGTCTTAAGTGTTCAATTAGTCATCGGAAGAAGTTTCAACGGGGTCACGTAAGCCAAAATTTCCAAATTGAGATACCATGATAGGATAAGAAAGAGAAAAGAGATGGGATTTGGATTTCTACACCGCTTTCAGTAATTCTTATTGTGACTTGCATGATATCATCGAAAGGATACATACATAAATGTGGATGAAATTTTTAAATGGCTTCTAAATTCTAATCTCGCATATATGTATGACATCACGTTAATAGCTTATTCCACTACCTGCTTTGTTTACAGTCGGATTTATTCTTGCTAATTGAGCAAAGTCCATTGTCGAAGCTCAAATCATTGGAAATATGGCATGAAAAAAAAGGTGACTGTAGGCCTTGGTTACTGGATTCCGTCTATATCATTGAACACGCGCATCATACACTATATCAATTTCCATGTCACAAATGGCTTGGTGACGATCCAGATGATTTAGTTATATTTTCCTTTGAAAATCCAAATTTTTTTCCTCAATTTGCAAAATCATGTTATTCCTAGCATCAAAATCAAAAATGGATTAATTTTATAAAGATTTCACGGTAGAAATTAACATAACATTTTTTGCAATTTCATTAAAAAGCACTTGACTATTGAAATAAACCAGATCGTTATAATTCACAGTCAAGAAGTTAAGAAAAGAAATAGAGACATTCTGAACTTAGTATTCAAATCTAGTGACTCACTTTCATCGGGTAAAGCTTGAATCTATGCTGTCAAAATGCAATGAATCTATGCTGTCAATAATAAACAATGGTCATAGTTACAAGATAATTGTTTTAACATAGATATAAGTGTACCAGAATTTCTTGTGAGCCAGAATTTCTGCAAATACATATTCCCATTTACAGATTTCAAGTGTGAAGCTTGAAGCTGTTGGAAAACCGTTTAAAGTTCTGTAAGAAGAAAATGACCGGATCTATTTGCAGCTTGTTAATAGATTTTCAAACCGGTGCATATTCCCTTCGATATATATAATGCAACAATATTTATATGATGTAACAATTTTCCCTCTGATCTTGTAGTTCTTTCTGCCTTTTTTCTCCATCTCAAAAATTATTTCTGCATAATTACTTGTCATCTGTCACACAACTTCATCTGGACACAAAATACCGCAGCTGCACTATGGAATATATCTATGCAAAAGCTATTTGCGGAACGAAATGACATAAATGATACCTTCATGTATACTCCATAAGTATCACTCTCGTAGGAAAATCTACATGGCTTGATAGCACAAAGGTAATTTTTTCTCACTGGACTACCGAGACATCAACAAATGGAACATTATCACTGATAAGATGGTCGTATAGTACCGTTGCTATGCAGACAGAAAAAAGCTGATAAATTTGAAAAATGCGCGATAGAAAAATGCAAGGCTATGCATATCTGTCAAATAATGATTGAGACACCGATTTCCACCGTGAAAAGAACGACTACTTTGTATTATGTGTCTAAAATGTTGTAATGCGAACAAACAATCTTATTCCAATCTAGACGAGAATAAACGTAAGTTACTCCTTTAACCAAGCTTCTATAAAAATCGCGAAATGAAAACAAATGAAGGATCCGAAAGTTCGGTGTCTGAACTATGCATTCAACTTGCATCGTCTTCTTAACGTTTTAATGCCAACTTTTTCAAATTGGGGGAGAAATGTTATTTCAGCTGAGATCTCTCAGACAAAACATTGAAGCAAACTCTCGGAGGAAAAAACAGAAGATTCAATGAAGTAAAGGTATAAAAATAATTACGACAGTTGTTACTATCATCCTCGATAATAATGGGGTCCTTTCACATATTTTGTCATTAGCCATCGCATTGTTTTGTTATTCTCTTAAGATATAGGTGATAGCTTCATAGTGTTGGACTGAATTCCCAATATTTCAGAAGAATGGAAAGAAAAATAAGAAAAACGAAGATCTCAGAGATGTATTGCAAGAAAGCACCGCGAATAATCTCTAGAGGTCGACTGCGTCACGCAAATGATTCAGCCAAAAACGGTATACTTTCCGTGTCATGTTAACTATACATTGTATTAGAGGCAGACCATTCATGGCAAAAACTGATTCTTGATTGGATATATATATATATATACATACTGTTTATGTGAATAGACGAAATAAGAGGGAAGATCAAGACGTCCATCTTGTTTATTATTGCTTGAGATCTACTTTAAAAAGTTTAAAATTAAGGAAAAAAATTGAAATAAATTGCTCTTAAGTTGAAGTAATAACAGAGAGTAAGAAAGAGAAAATTATGCTATTTTAAACGATAATGCATTGTTTTTGTGAATTTTTAGGAAAAGAATGTGTTAATAACGATTTTGAAATGGATGATGAAGTTGGGGAAGGGTTCGTAGTTCGAGGTGGAGTAATGATGCCGGTCGCTGACGTAAATAAAGAGCAGTGGAGACCAATGAAACGATTCTATATCGATGTTAATCGGTCGCAGATTTATCAGCATGCTCAAGCTCATGATAGTATATCAATGGATGATGAGGCTAGTTCATCCCGTGTCACCATTGAAGTTTCTGCGCTACCTGGCGACGGACGAATGTTCCATCTCTGTGATAATCTTCCAGGTTTAAAACATTTTTCTTCGCCTAATTGTTTAATCTAGTATGTTTTACATTTATAGAAAAGTTAGCCTTTTTTTCTAGATAATGTGCAGACATCTGACACTCGATAGCAGTAGAAAGCATTTAACAAAGTTCATAATATTCGGAGTCATCGCTAATTCTGTCAGCTAAGGGGACTCGTTTTCGTAGCGTGGTCAGTATGCAGTGACAGTGCGACTACGATTGGTGAATTGCTTAATCCAATCTTCGTTCTGAATTTTAGTAAGTGTTGATACTAAATAATTTTAGATGTGGCGAATGAAGTGGAGTCGTACCCTTGTCGTTTCTGTCCTGATCGTATTTTTTTGACGTCATTTGGTCTGGAACGACATACTGAAATGGAACATAAGAAACACCTTCCTCAAGTTATGGAAGAAATATCAAGGATTCATAATGAGTGGAGGAGGTACTGTTGTTTTTTGTCCCTCTGCAAATGACTGATTCACCGTTTGAACAGTGCATCCAATTTCATTTCATTTATTAGGAAATTTTTGCATATTTTCTTACTTACTTTTGTTAGTCTGGTTTTTATCTGTTTTATAGTCCATCTTTGTCATTTTAAGGAGAGAGACATTCAAAGCTGTAGCTAAGAAGCGACGTGAGGCGTTAAAAAAGACAAGAATGTTAACGGAAGTTGTAAGACGTTCTCGTAAGCATTTTCTCTCCATACAGTTTTTGTTGAAGGATTATTAACGAAGAATGGTACGCTTCAAAAACTTGGGAACTTAGATTTTTTCTGCATCCCTTCTTTCGATATGCATTTTTTAGAAAGTTTGCGATCCGAAGACCGTTCTACTGATAGATATTACACAAGTGGTTTGAGGTGTCATATTTGTGGTATCGGTTTTGAAGCTAATTGCGAATTTATGATGAATCATTTTCGTGCCCATCGCAAAAATGACGACTTAAGACGGCAACTATTGGCAAATTTTGGTCCTTCGGTTAGATTTCACAGCATCCTTTAATTTTATTTCATCACAAAATTCAACCAAATGGTCGCATCAATTGCTTTGGGAATGCAGTATCTTTATGTTTAGATTAATGTGTATTGCAGTATGTTGCACGTTGTACTTGCCACCAGTGTCATTTGGTTTTTATCAATGAAAAAAATTTGATGCTGCACGAAGAGTCATCACACTTTAGAAAACGAAAGTGAGTGCAGTATTCCTTAAATTTCTCTATTAGTTTTCAAACAAAAACACTTTTCAATCCTTTTCAATCCTTGACAGCAGTATTTGTAAGAAAGATTAAAAAGTATTTTTGGATTTATTGCATTTATTAAGTTTATTAAAACCACATTATACTGACCTATCTAAAAATGTGTATAGCAAATACGGAAGGAGTTGAGGAACCATTTTCGACCAGTGCAGTGATGCCGATGCTACCGAAATTTGGTTGTAGGATTGTTAAATCATTTTTATCTGTTCTGCAACTGCATTTCAACGACGTCACTGCATTGTTACCCGATCGATCATGACGATGATAGTTATTTTTTTTAATTTATGATTAGTAAAATGATGAGACTAGAATTTTTTAACACTATAGGATCGAAACAATGATATATTAAAATATTATATGTGGGACATTTTTTTTCCTCAGATATTATGGCAACATTTTTAGTGATACGAAGAGATCTTATTGTTTAATATAGGTTCTATAAATGCTTAGGTTAGAAGAATTTTTTTAAAAAAGAACTTTTCCGTTTTCAGATATGTATGCAAATGGTGTGGTTTTGTGTGTTTGTCGGTGAATGAACTGAATGAGCATAAAAAGAATGTACACAGTGTACCATGCAGTCGATCTTCTGTCAGTGGTACAATAAGCAATCTGCAAAAGAATACTGTGCAACTGATCGCTGCTGATGATAATTCAGCAGAAAAAGAAACATTTTCTAGGAGCGGCTTTGCAAATATTTCTTCAGGAAATTGTGCCTTTATGCTGAATCAAAATCCATGCATGTGAGCAAATATCTTAGAAGGGTTTTTTGGACAAAATCGAATTAAATCGGATACTTCTTCGATTTATATTTTTCTAATGATTGAGGTATCAATATATGTCAGATATCTGACATATCATATATTGCTGAAATCTATTTAATTTTTCTCGACACCAATTTTAGAACAAAGTGTAGCGAGTGTGGCTTGACTACTGTGAAGCCATCATTACTTATACGTCACATGCAACGTGTGCATAATAAGAACTGCTTCTCAGCGGTAATTGAAGTGAAAGGTTTGCCTAATATTAGAGTGGACATGGATCGTGGAAAAGTAACTTGGTGGTGTTGCAACTTTTCTTTTGAAGACAGGTTTGTTTCTTAACGGCTAATTAGAACTATTTAATACACGATATTGGTTTTTATGCTTCAAGCGTTAATTTTTAGGTATCGTTTTATTCACCATAGAAAAGCACATCATCAAGTGGTGCTTGAATATAATCATTTGCAAAATTGTCCGGTTAATACTAAAGAGCAAGTTATTACTACTCATGAAACAAATGGCAGAGAATTAATGAGTATGGGACAAATTGTTCAGTTAATCAATCCTGACGAAACCCAGCATGATGAATTGTATGTTTTGATGGCAGAAGAGGACGATCTCGGTATTTTTTTCCGTTTCGCAACTTCACTGATTTTATCGAAAAGAAATTTGAAGCTATTATATAAAATAATACGTGAGAGTTAAAAGAAATTTCGAATGTTTATGAAGTTAGAGTCTTTTTAATTAGTTATTAACAATCAAGTGTAAAAGTCCTAGAATAACATAGGTTTTCCCGACTTTGCTGATGCAAGTTCCAATTTTTTATTGGTGACATTCTTGCTGAGTGCTCAACTTATCGTTATAGATGAACAAAAAGAGGGAGTTTCTAGTATTTTGGAATATGACTTGATCAATTGTAGAATTAGGTTTTACTGATTAAAATCCTTTGTCAGATAGTTTTGAGATCAGGAAGTTTCTTAAATTTTAATATTATTTGCTTCCAGAACAAGGAGGTGAAATTGTTTTACGAGAAGTGCGAGCAGGTGAACCGATAGTAGAAGGTGCACAGCAGATTACTCTGACGGCTAGGGAATTTATGCAGTTGAAGCAGCAAGTTGGAGAAAACTTTGATGGTGGCATGGTTAGTTGTTACGAACTTTGAGTTCAGAAATATAATTTTCACAGAAATTTATCTATTATTTGTCCAACTTGGTCTCTTGATTGTAGTCTCAAGTGTTGAACCGATTTCTTTTTTTAGCCATAAACTTCTAGCAGTATATTTTTTCAGCAAATTTTTCTTGACGTGAATGACGCACAGCAACTATCACCAAATTCTGGAGTGGAACCAGCAATTGATTTCGTCGCAAACAGTGTGGTGGATAACGATGTCCTGAATTCCTTGCTTATATCAAGTACACAATTGCCGTCCACAGATAACAAATATTATCCCAGTACACACTCAAATGAGTCAGAATTTTCTGTAGTGAATGTTCCCGTTCCTATAGAAGACAAAGTACTGCAGAACGACTTACCTCTACCATCAGAAAGTTTGATTAATGTAGAAACGAGTTCTGCAAATCTCTCCGTACCAACCGTAACATTTAGTCATGGTAGTTTGATGGATAATTCTCTGAATTGTCACTTTCAAGTTCAGAGAAATACGCTTAATGAACTAACAGCAGTTCATACGGTTGCGATTGAGCATAGTGCGCAACAGCTTCACAATAATGTAGCTTGTTCTCCTACGATATTATGCCCAGAGTTGGATGGCGTTTCACGATCAGAATCGGGAACTTCTCCATCCCTTATTGTAATTAATAATAAAGAAACAATTTCGTCACCATCTAATATCGATTATTGTTCTATGGAAGATTCAAAAACTAGTTTTCTGGTAAGACCAAGTAGCAGGCCTACTTCTGTTCTAGATAGCATCCCCACTTTGATAGATTTGAATGGAAAGGATACACTCACGACAGTAGCAGGAAAAACATTGGTTAAGGCACCCTCTTTACAGCATTTATCAACAGCTACAGTTAGCAATGATACTATCTCGTCTTATATCAATTAAGGTATCAATTCAACCACCGCAACTATGTGTATTTCAGCTATAAACAATTTTTCATTTGTAAAAGTGAGATCATTTAATTGAATTTAACAATTTTGCCATTCGGGTTGATATTAGTTGTAGTGGTTTGTTTTTTTTTGTATTGGTGGATTTTGCTTGATATATTGATAAAATGAAATCACTTTCGGGTCTAGTAGGCTCATAAAGGAATCAGTTATTTAAAATGCCCTTCCATTTTGCAATAAGTCAAGCTTGAAGCTTTTGAAATTGTGTAGTAAAATTGCGGAAACATCCATGTAGATTAACAGAAAATAAGGCTAGTTTTGTTAATTTCTCGTCAATCTAATATGTATTGCTAATTGTAATATGAATTATAAAACAAATAAATTTTTTTCGAAAATTGTACGCACTGTATATCGTCGCAAAACTCATGCTTCCATATAGCTGATATTAAGTATTATAAATATTCCAGACCATTTTTTAGGATCTTTCTATTTAGAGCAAAGAAGACGTCTTTCAAATTGAAAATCATTTTTTTGTTTCTTCTTAATTGGAAAATGAAGTTGAAAAATTCATCCGATTGATCTGCATTTATCTCCAATTTATTTCACTTGTCAATTGAAATAGAATAGCTTGCTTATATTCAAATTGTATTAGCCATGTATGCAAGATATTTTCATCAACAATAAACGTTATGAGCAACGAGAACAGCAAAATGTACATATAAACGAAGTGCAGGATGGTTACAACTCGGAGTAAAGTGGATATTATTTATTGTGGTTTTTATATAAGTATTTCCTGTAAGTATATATAGAAATTTTTGAAACGAAAGAAATAAATTCCGAAAGTGATAAAGAAATGTGAAATTACGATATTCCAAAAAATAAAATTAGAAAGTATTTTTTCCTTTTTTTCCAACATCTGTGTCAAAAATATTAATTTTCCTTATGGAATTAGTCGAGTAATTCTTAATTGATTAATTTTCTACCATTTAGATTTTTTTAATACGATGATGTGATGGATGGATATCGTGAAAGTGGTCATCGAAGGAATTTTGCGATGGAGAATGTCTTTATCCACGCCGTTTCGTTGTTTAATTTATCATAGTATCCTTCTTGAAATTAATCCTCTGAATTTGTTTCATTCTCCTCAACTGATGCACGCATTTGTGCCATTCGTGTTTCTTGTCGATAAAAATGTTTAAAATTTGCTACCTGGAAATAAGATAAACAGGTAATAAAATAATTCTAACAAAAGCATAAAGTAATAACATATAAGAATTTTTTTGAATAATTTAACAGTTTTTTTTCTTCAAATATTTTCAAGAAATTTATCACAAAAACACTTACAATAATAGGAACAGGTAGGGCAAGTGTCAATACACCAATTAATGCACACAAGCCACCCACCAGTTTACCGTAAACTCCAGTGGGTGTCAAATCCCCATACCTTTAACAAAAAAAACAAGTACTTCATTTAAAGGAAATCAAATTTTCGTAATTAGCAAATAAAGTAAAAGTTTCACTTTAACCGTATTACATTATCCATAATTTCTTGCATATAATACTTTCAAAGTTGAACAAAAAAAATGAGTAATTAAAAATTTTACGATTGTTTTTAATCATTTAAATTATTTATTAATTTAGAAGATTTTAAAAATAAAAATTAAAATTAAACTTTGAGCAGAAAAATCAAATTTCTCGCAAAATTATAATTTGTTTGATTCAGTTGAAAATAAAAATAAAATATTATTATTTCTTTTAATGCTAATAATTCTTGTGTGATATAGAATATATGATAATGTTTAGTTAGTTATGTAAGGAATGAAAATAAAAGATTATATTTGAATTATACGTAGCGTACGTCTAATTCAGGAAATAACGTATCAAAATGTTCGGAAGAAAGAAAATGGCAATGAATTAACCACAATTTTCAATTTCATTTCTACTAATATCAAAAGCAAAATGTCAGTTAAACGTTTTCAACTATTTAATTAATTGAGCATTAAAATGGAAAGTATAAGAAAGGGACTTTTTCATATTCAACCATCTATGCAACATTTATTCAAAAGCACATTTCTTTTATATTTATCAAAATTTAAAAAGAAAAATTTTATTTATTACAACTTAAAATATAATCTATAAATGTAAATATCCGTGGTTGTATAAATTATTCGCGGCAAGAATGATCTAATAATTAAAAATTTTAATAACCATTAAGGAACTTTTGTTTTTTTTTGGATTTTTGATTGATTGAAATTTTAATTTTGAATATTTAGAAGTAATTTGATCATTTAAAAATGTTAGATATTATTTGAAAATTTCAATAAATAATTTTTAAAAATCAATTAATAGACAATAACAATAATCATCGATACTTAATAAATATATTTTCGGTAAATATATAACAAAACTTACCCGACTGTTGTCATTGTAACCTGAAATAAATTGAAATGAAGATATTGATAAATTATTTTAAAAAGAAATTACACAAATTATTCGTAAGATAAATTAAGTTATTTGAATATATGAAAAGAATAGAAAGATAATCGTATCGGACACGATAAAAGCTTACCAAGACAAACCAGAAAGAAGCAGGAATTGAGGTAAATTTTGTATTTGGCTCATTTTGTTCAGCGAAATAAACGCCACTGGAGAAAAGTACCAAAGCAATTGCCATAAAAAAGATAAGAAGGCAAAATTCCTGTATCGATGCACGAAATGTTTTGCCAAGAATTTGTAAGCCAACTGAATGCCTAAATGTCTGATATTTAACTATCAAAATTAAAAATAACTTCTCATCCCTATCCATCATAATCATTTTATTCTTAATAAGTAATAAAATTTCCTCTTCTCTTCATGATTATAATATTGATTATAAATATTGGCGCAATTGTTATATTATAAAGAATGAAAATTCATGATCATAAAATTGATTATAAATATGAAAATATATGTATGTATTATCTAATAACTTGTTTGCTAACCTACTGAGCTTGAATATCCTGAATACTCGTACTAAACGTAGAACACGTAATACAGCGAATGACATCGATGAATTGGATTTAGCTGAATCCATCCTAAAAATTTAAATTATTTCCTTGACGATATTCAATAAACTGTATAATTTTTCATTTGTTTTACGATTAAAATTAATTGGTAAATATTTGATTACATATTAATTACTGTAATTGTTGTTTGCACTTTTTCTAAAATTTCAAAACAACTAAATTAGATTATAATAAACTAAGCTTACCACAATAAATTACCAAAAAAAGGTGCAATAGCAATGAAGTCAATAATATTGAGAATAGAGCGAAGGAAGCTAAACTTATCCGGACAGCTTATAAATCGTAGCAATAATTCTGAAATCATATATTTCTCCGATATTAGATAATAAATTTAAAAGCTTTTATTTAATGAATGAAGAAAAGAATGGACAAAAATTCCATTTGATTAAAATTTTCAAAATTTCAATTTATACTAGAAAATAATTAGCATAAAAATGAGTTAACGTTTAAAATAAACTCCTGATTGAAAAATTTAAAATTAAGCTTACAATGATTCTTTTAGAATAAATATGTGAATGCTTAGTGAAAGTTCTGTTTGTCTTAGAAGAGAAATTTTCTTTGATTTAACTTTTTCGTAAAACAATGAAATGATCTATTAAAAGAAAAAGTTTTCTCTTATGATTAATAATTCCAAAAAATCAATACTTTATTTTTATATAAAATAACTAATATACCAGAAAATAAGTGAAAAAATTTTCTCAAATAAAATCTGATGACTTCTTTTTTTCATGAAAATTCAAATGTTGAATTTATGAATATTCTATTCTAATTATTCTTATAGAGAGAATTTGAGATATGAAAAAAATTTTTTTTACAACCAACCAATTGTAAACCAAATAATACAAAATAATTCAATGTAGAAAAATGGATTAGACCAGTCACGTATATCACCCGGATTTTCTTTTATCGATGGTAATGTTTCCAAACAAAATGATATTATTGAGCTAAAATGTTATTTTAGATTATTCCCAAAATATATATTTAAAATCTCATTTTCCATATTTTGAAATTTAATAAAGAACTTTTAGAGAATTAAGAAGAATTTGAAGGAATTTAATTGAATTGAAGAAAATGCACACATGCTAATAACGAAAATAGAGAGAAGTGCAAAAATTCGAGCGAATAATGAAGAATCCGGATATTCTGTCAATTCCCATAGTTGCCGTTGCAATACGTTTCGTGGCATTTGAATTTCTTTCGGTTTCTCATAACCTTCACTAATCCAGAATTTCTCCAACAATTCTTCACCCATCTACAAGAAATCGATACCGTAATCACTGCTACCGTAATGAACATGTCTACAATATTCAGCTCATGTTATTTCTATATGTATCAATCATAGATGCTCTCTTACTTTGCTAAATAGGTCAGATAAAATTGATTATTTATGCTTTTTTTCAAATGAATTCTTTGAATTAAATGAGTGCTTTTTAATTATATGTAATTATAATCTATTGTGATATCACTATCTAATTTATATTCAATTCTTTTATTTAAAATAATATTTTACTTCGAAAAATTTGAGCTCTTTGATAAACATATCGATTGGTACCGATTCAGGCCTTTTTACGATACCACCACTTTGATAAGTATACAATATTGATTCGAAACTAAAACAAAAAATCATAATTATTATCACCAAAACATTTTATCCTATCAGACATAAAATTACATAATAAATAATTTGAAAAACAAATTAATATTAAGGTTAAAAAGTTTTTTGATCGTTACATATTCTTATTGGTTAACAGAAAATGAAATTATAAATTTTCAATATATTTTCAATTGATATTTTCTACACTCTCGAATTAACTCTCTAATAGAATTTAAAATAAAATAAATTTTAAAAAAGGAAACGAGAAACCTTGTACGATGTCGATCGAAAAAATATTCTTCATTTTTAGGATCCCAAAAACGATTTCGTTTGAATGAATTACCAAGCAATGTTAACGGATATCTGTCAAAAAGAATTATTTACATGATACTGCTGTAAAGCAATATGCATTTAAGATCTTATTGCCTATAATTAAATATTAGAATTTATTTTCATACTGTAAGATAAAATTATTCTCCGAACAAATTTATGGTTGAAATATTTTAGAACATTTAAAAACTCAAACAAAATTATATGAAATATCATTTCAAAATTTTTCAACGGAAAAAGAAAAATGAATGACCGTAACTTATATTGGTATTTTTATGAATTTTAATTTAAAATTTCATAAAATTTATTAAATCAAAAATTTCATAAAATTTATTAAAAGATCAACAATGCAATGAATTATAATAATTACAATTAAATTATGCTTGTAACAATGAATTATATAAATTGTATATATATTTACAACTTTAAAAGTTTCATAATTAAGTATAAGAATGAAACGTATAAGCTTTAATCTTTTACAAATTTGTTTTCTTTAAATAAAATGCTAATTGTGGAAATTTAATTTCATTGATCGAAACAAAAGAAAAATGCATCTCTTTTACACTTACCTTTCCAATGTTGATTGATAAGTTTGAAATTTTAGACCAGAAACATTAATTGTAATTACGTTATGTTCTAATTGTTTCATTGATGACATATCATTGAATATTACATCATTTGGCTGAAAATAAAATATTTATGCATTTTCAAATTAAAATTATCAAATCTTCTTTAGCAATAGCGCATAATCAATATAATCAATAGCGCATTTATACAATTCAAAGTTTGATGTATAATAAAAGAAAGATAAGATGAAATAAAATGGAATATGAGATTATCTACTACGCATCAATTTTACTGAGAAGTCTTGAAGATGAAGAAAAACGTATAAGATCCATGCCATATTTTAACAATAGAAATATTTGATGATTTTTGGTGTTAAAGTTTTTTTAAAACTATTAATGATGAGTAATGTAAAAATGTTAATTTAAATTTTAGGAAAATTATTCAACAACCGAGATGACCTCTTCTTCTTTAATGATCGGAAAAATCGATCCATTGTTTGGTTTTTCTTCATTTATCTCCCTATTTGGTGTATTCATAATAATTGGTGACCTGTAAAAATATCACAATGATAAAAAATTGATTTGATAAAATAATAACATAACACTGCATGGAATATTTATTTCATTAGAGAGCATCTTTTTATAGATAGAAAAAGGAAATAAATTCATTCAATTATTTCGGATAACAAATTATATTGATACTATCGAAATTATTTAAATAAACTGAATGGAGAAATTTAAATAAACTATATTAAATCATTCAGAAAAATTTTTATCATTTAAATTGTGAAAATAATTTCCATTCAAATTTTTATAATATTTTTTTCTTGCTCATTGCTTATATATTATTTGAAATATAAATAATTCTTCGTCTGTCAAATTCAACCATTCATACTTTCAAATATTCTAATCTTAAAAGAAAACGAAAAAAAAATAAGTTACTAAAAAGTGAAAAAGATAAAATATACATAGTTTCGCATTAACTTTATCCATTAACTTTAACGAAATTCAAACATACCACATTACCACTTAAGAGAGAACTTTGTCGAAAATCGAATATACATCACTACCACTTAGGAGAGAACTTTGTCGAAAACTGAACATACCACTTACTTAAGAGAGAACTTTGTCGAAATTCGAATATACATCACTACCACTTAGGAGAGAACTTTGTCGAAAATCGAACATACCACTTACTTAAGAGAGAACTTTGTCGAAATTCGAATATACATCACTACCACTTAGGAGAGAACTTTGTCGAAAATCGAACATACCACTTATTTAAGAGAGAACTTTGTTGAAATTTAAAACATAATACTACTACTACTACTGCTACTACTTAAGAGACAACTTTGTCGAAATTCAAATATACTGCTACTATTAAAAAGAGATTTTTAGTCGAAATTCAAATATACCACCACTAAGAAGAGAATTTTGTCGAAATTACTACAAAAGAGAATCTAAAAAATACATTGTATAATTGTCGAAACTTATATATACCACCACTAAGAAGAGAGAACTTTGTCGAAATTACTACAAAAGAGATCCTACAATTGATAACAAAAAAAAACAATTTATTAATAAATAAATTAAACAAATATTTAATTATTGATTTGATAATTTGATAATTTGAACAAAAATTAGCTAACAAATTTTAATTTTTGTTGTTGTTATTGTTGTTGAAGATAAATCATTTTGTTGTAAAATTTAGTTTTGTGGTATTTTCGCCTTTTTTTGAATAAGAAAAATTAAATGAAATAGAAAAGGAAGAAAGAGAAGAGGAACGAACGGAGGAGCAGCTAAAAGGCCCTTCAATGGGGAGGAGAATCATGTATGAAACACGACGGTACTCATCAATTGCGCCAGCTGGTGCCAATCATTGACATTTGTGTAAAGCTCCAATAATCTCTTCCTTCTTTCAATATATTCTTTAACTTAGAACATTTGCTTGCATTATATACGGAGCTACACACACACACAAACACACATACATGCACACACGCACACATACACGCACATACATACAGACATACACATGCATAAACATGCAGACACATACACACATGCACACACACACATATATATATATTACAGATGTTAATAAAATTTTTTCGAATCTGATTGTATCAGTGAAAGTGACTCTAATGAGATAAGTACAACATTGCCAATATTGCCATTCTGAGAAGTTCGTCGAGAATTTTTGCGGGAAGAGTTTGTTAAATGAGCAGGATAATAATATGCTAATTAATTAATAATTATTTATGTTTGAAATAATTTTTATTTTATTAAAAAATTTATAATTAAATTATTGCTATAAATTTAGCATAAAGTTTGTATAAGTTATTCAATTCTTACTACGAATCATTGAAATATTTTTGAGGAATAAAATTTTTTTAAAAATCATTTTTTAGATCAAACTTTTAATGTATGAATTATTATTATTATCATATCAAATAATCAAATCAGTTATTCTTATCAATAATGGATAATTGATTATATCTTTCGCTTAAACATTTTGTGGGAAATGATAGTTCTTTACAAAGTTGAGAAAAAGCTGAAATAGAAGTAAAATTAGCAATTGTTCGTGATTAAAATGATAACATATATTACAACAAAAATATTATGTTTGAATTAAAATTCAGACAGGCCGATGTTTATCTTTGGATACTAATAAAAGAAGTAAAATTTTAAAAAGATAATTTAGGTATGGAAGTGTTATTGGTTGCGATATCAATTTGCAATTTATACAACAATGCAAAAAATAAAATTAGATAGCCAAAAATAGATAAATCTAATTCCTTTTTTTTCAAAACTAAATTTAAACGAAAAATTAAATTTGAGAAGAGAAGTCATTCGCACTTCAAAAATAATTATTAAATTTTCAATAACGATTAATTTATTTCAGTAATGGAAAATTTACCATATTTTCCATTACTATTATTAAATAGAATTTTATCTTACAGATAATCAGTCGAAAAAGATCGATTACAGTCAGTAGTAGTATGCAAAGAAATGGATGTTGAAGATCGTGATGATCGATTACTTCGATGCCGATATTTCTCCGGATGAACATTGAAAAAATGTTCTATTTGCTTCCTGAAAGTATGATTAATTTCGGATTTAAATTATTTAAAAAATCTTCTAACATAATCTAATTTTTTTTTATTTATTAATAAATTAAAAAGAAATTAATAAAATTGTTGAATTGGAAGTTCTATTAAATAATTAAATAATTAAAATAATAATGGATTACATCAAATATTCGATCAGTGTTGGTAGAAATTTCGATAAGTCATTTCTAGTAATATTAGTATTATTAGTAGTAGTAGTAATAATAATAGAAAGCTGTCTTTTTTGGATAATAAAAAGAGAAAGAGTAAATAAGTACTGATATTGTTGTAAATAAATACTGATATCGATGTATCACTGAAATGTTTTAGCCCTTTGAAGGGAAACTTTTCTCTATTTTATATAATAGGTAAAATACTTTTAATTATATTTAAAAATATTTCCATTTTTATTACATATAATAAAAGTTATATGAAAATTAGTGTAGTAATTTGATTAAAAAATATGAATTCAAATATAATTTCTTATTTAAAAAAATTGAATTCAAATAAACTGAATTTCTATAAATCCTAAAAAATCAATGTGTATTATTTCAAAATTATTTATTAACAATAATTGACAAAATTCAAATTTAAGAAAGAATTGAAAATTTCAACGCGGTATTTTCTTTGATGAAAAAGAATGGAAAAAGATTGCATATTTTCCTAATTCAAAAATAAAGCTGCAAAAGGCGGAATTTTAAAAAGGTATTGAATTTTAAATATTTCACAGTTATTAATTAATTTCAAATTTCAATTTAACTTCTTTCAATCTATTCATTTAATTCAATAAGCTATCTTTCTATCAATTTTTTGCAAATTTCTAAATTCAAATTAATGAAATACTTAAATTCATATTAATGAAATACTTAAATGTCACATTAATCAAATACTTGAATCGTATCAAAGGACCAAAAATCCTATCAATTTTTTGAAAATCTCCAACTTTTTAATATATGATTAAATATAAATATTTTTATTTAAAATAAGTAACAGGAAAGAATGAAACAAAGAAATGCTTATTAATAATCTAATTAAGAATGCATATGCTAATTGATAAACGTACCACAAAAACATTCCCAATTAGAATGAAAGATATTACACATACATACATTCAGTGATATGTGTTGAAAAATATATTTTAAAAGTGCTATTATCAGATTTAAAATTTTTTAACACAAATATCAGCTGTTAACACAACTAAAACTATATGATGATAAATGAGCAATACAACATTCTATGTACTTATCAGTTAAGTGATAAATACATTAAACTTTTATCATTTAAAGGTTACAAAAGCAATTGGAATAAAAAAGATTTGATAATTTAAAAGAAATTTGAGATTATCAAAAATGTTGCATTTAAAATATTTGCATTTGTAACTTTTTCAAATGATAAATGGAAAAGATATATTGTAAATTATTTACTCACAAATATATCAGAAATAATGTTTTTAACACTTTCAATTGATTTCAATTTTTCAATTACAGTAAATTTTTGGCTTTCTTTCAGATTTTCCATTCATTCTGTAATTTACTTATTTACTTAGGTGCTAATATATACCGTATGATAAAATTTGTGTGAAATTAATTCATTTACCTATTTATTTTGTAATTTACTTCTTTACTTACTTAGATAACAATATATACCGCATGATAAAGTTTGTGTAAAATCAATTCATTTACTCATTCATCTAAAGTTTACTGTTCGAAAAGCTTTTATTAAAATAACAATTCAAATAATTTAAAATAAACTAACTATTACAAAATATTCCTATTCATGGAAGTATAAATTAGATAAAAATCAATTTTAAAAACAAAAGCGAAAATGTTGTTAATTTGATTACACGAAATTAAGAAACTAATGTATTAATGGTTGAGCCTGAAATTATCAGTTGTTTGATATATTAATTGATAAATTCAAATCAGCCATTATTATAATATCAAAAAAACAGTTATTAAGTAGTGAACATGAAATCACTTATAGGTATTAGTTAATGATCGGTAATGTTTACAGTACAGTACTCTCAGAAGAATTACATGGAATGTTAACTTTTTATTTTATCTGTGTTTTTCTTCAATTTTAAAAATCGGATTCTTTTTTCAAAAAATATTATTGATAATTAATTATTAAAATAAATATTAGTAATTCTAAAATTACTTCTTTTTGTAAGAGTAAAAAGTAAGAGATGAAATAATACGGTAAAAGATAACAATCGTTTTAAACAAAAATTAAAACAATAATGTATATGTCTTATATAATATCATATGAATTAATTGTTGACAACAAACTTGTTATTTTGCTTTAAGATGAATAAAATAAATTTTGTAATGCTAAAATGACTGAACAAACCTTTTAGTTGAAGGCCGTTCGATTAAGGAATGCATTCATCTGATCTTTGTCGTACTACGATAGCATGCATTTAAATTT